AGCCTCCGTCGCTCATCGGTACGTGCAACAGATCGACCTTGTACCGTCGCTTTCGCTGCTCCTTGGACTCCCCATTCCATACAATAATCTCGGTATGGTCATTCCCGAGCTGTTCTGGCGCGACGCGCGAGGGATGGAATTTGAGAATGCCCTCGATTTGAATGCACAGCAGGTGAAGAGGTATCTCAACACGTATCGCGCGAAGCCGGCGGGCGGAGAACTTGACAGCTCGTGGGCGGAGTTGCAGGAGCGCTGGGTAGCTGTGGAGGCTGTAAAGGGAGAAGCGCGTAAGGCCAGGTTGTTCTTGACAGAGGAGTACGTGCGCGCGGCGTTGGAGGCATGCCGTTTGATATGGGCAAGGTTCAACGTGTCGCTGATCGTGCTGGGACTTGTCCTGCTGGCTGCAAGTATAGCTTCGTCTTGGGTACTGTATGTGAAATTTGGGGAGATGCAGGAAGAGTGGGGTGATTGGGCGGGGAAGGTTCGGAGGACCTGCGTAATCTGGACGGCGGTAGGTGCTGTGGTAGGATGCGGCTCCTACTTCCCGCTGCGCGCTGTGATCAAGGGCGTTGATGCCCTCCAGTGCGTCATTTTCTGCGCCCCGTTTGCATCTTCGCTCGCCGTTGTCTTCACCAACAAGCCGTCGAGGCTCAACTTCAGCATCTCGTCTCTTTCTCTTCCCCTCATTCTACACGCGCTCTCTTTCGCCTGGAATTCGCTCACATTCTGGGAAGACCGCGTCGTCACATTCCTGGTGCTGTCGTCCATCGTCCCATCTGTGTTTACCGGATTCACAGCACCCACCGCGCGCCTGCGCTACCGCATTCTCGGGTTCTCCGCGCTCTTTGCAGCGTGTGTCTGGCTGATGGCGATGAGCACTGTCTGCAAGGAGGAACATCAGCCGTACTGCTATGTCACGTTCTTCGCTTCGTCCTCCTTCCCGGAGCCGCCGTTACCCGTCCTCAAACTCTCCCTCGCAGCCTCGATCGGTCTGTCATTTGCCATTCGCGCGTTCCTCATGATATCCAAGAGCGACAAAGGCATTGCACCGATCTTCCTGTCGTTGTTCATGCCCGGAATCCTGCATCTGGGTGCGATGCATTGGATTATGGAGTGGTTGGACAGTGCAGAGGTTCTTGGGCCGGGACATGGTGGGATTTTGCGCGCGGATCGCACGTCACTCGCTCGGAACTTGATGGGCATCATCGTTTCTTTTGTCACAATAACCTGGCGGACCTGGTCACTATGTCTCGGGGTCAGTATAACGGAGACGCCGACGACAGCGGCGAAGAGTGCTATCACGAATGATGAGGCTTCCCAAGAACCGAAGAAGCTGGTCACTATTCTCGGATCTGCCAACACTTTCGGAGCGTCGTATCTCCTCCTCTGGTGCATGATGCTGTGCTTGCTTTCCGTCGCGACGCAGCTGACTGGACAGCTCGTTCTCGGCTTGGCGACGCTCGCCGTTCTCGCGCATGTCGAAGTGGTGGACAGCGTGCGCGACGTCCATGCACTCGAAGCGGCGTTCCCGTCCGAGACGCCATCGCTCGCGCCTGGTACGGCCAGTCGATCCAGCGAACTGTTGCGCTTCTCGCATATCGTGCCGTTAGCGCTGCTGGCACTACATACGTTCTATGCAACGGGTCATCAATCGACGATCTCGTCCATACAGTGGAAAAGCGCGTTTGTGCTGACGTCCACCTTCAGCTATCCATTCTCCCCATTCGTCCTTATTCTGAACACATTCGGGCCCCAGTTCCTGATTGCGTTCGCGACGCCGCTACTCGCGTTATGGAACGTTCTGCCGCTACCGCAGCCGAAAGTAAGCGTGCGGGTGCGCGGGGATGCCATGCGTGCCGGGCTGGGTATGATGCTCTATCACTCTGTGCTGCTGCTCGCGAGCGCGGTGTGCGCAGCGTGGCTTAGGGGGAGTCTCACGGTGTGGAAGGTGTTTGCGCCGAGACTGATGAGCGCGGCGGCTTCGCTGGTGGCAATTGATCTAGCAATTCTACTAGGAGTTGGGCTGGGCGTCAGCAAGGTTGCTGGACGGGTCTCGACAATATTTGGCCCACTAGGCTCAGGCCGAGGATTGGTCTCATATGACCCAAAAACGAATTGGAAAATTCAGCAGTGAAAGCATTTTGGAGAAAAGGCCTACTCCGCATTTTCCTGGCGTCAATTTACTTCAAACTGCCTCTATCGGCTCAAAAGTGATGGCTATTGCAGCCTGGGAAATTCAGGAAAAGTTCTCACGATTCTCATGATAGCACTCGATACTGAATGTGCAGTGAACGGATTCATGTCTGTAGTGATAGTGCTGTTATTTGCTTTGATAATAAAAATGCATCCGGGCTGGGTTTAAATTCCGCGGCGGTTGAGTGAGATCCCATCAGCGGAAGTATCGCACATGATCTATACAAGGAAGTCCGAGTGGCGACTTCCGTTCACGTTGCCATCTGCCATCGCTCCGGAATGTGGCATGATGCGTCCATGCATGGATCAATGTTCTGAGCAGCAGGCTGTCGCGCGCCGACCACGTCCTCCATCCTATTTGTGACGCTCAGATCAGGTATGCCAGCACTCTTGATTACATCTGTCATCACTGTCATCGCACGGCACATCCCTGAAACACTATTACCCTCCGGACTTGAACCGTTTCTCCATCTTTCTCCCAACTACCGTCTCTCATTCAATGCCCACAGCTACAGCTAACACTCAGCTCCAGCTCCCGCATCTCATCTCATATTGTGATGCGTTCGAACTGCGGACGAACCCGCATTGCCGTACTGTTGCAGACAAGGCGAAGAAATGGGTCGTAGATAGCAACACAGGCGGCTTCCTAAGCGAACAGGAGCGGCGGGCATTCTGCGGACTTCAAGCTACGCTCCTGATCTCCCTGTGCTATCCTACCTGCGATGCAGCGCAACTGCTTGCCATCACGCAAATGTTCACGTTGATGATCCATTGTATGGACAGCTCCCAGATCACGGCTCAGAGCGCCGCCACGCAGCGAGCATTCGATGGGTATGTGTGCTCAGTGTTCTCGTAACAATTCATGCTGATCGAAGTTCTTTTTTGCTGCTATAGAATATGGACCTGCCTCCGACGAACAACAAATGCGGACTGGCAAACCCGCTTCCGGCGGCACCTACGCGCATTCCGTACCGCCCTCATGCGCACTGAAGCCGACTCCGACCGGGGCATCATGCCAGACATCGAGTCGTACATCGCACTCCGACAGGACTCCTCCGGCACGAAACTGCTCTTCGATCTGATCGAGTATGCAGAAGGACTGCGGATACCGCCTTCGCAACATGCATCGCCGCTCCTCCAACGTCTGAAAAGTGACGCCTGCAACATCATCTCATGGTCCACGGTGAGCGCATCACCCGTTTGTGTGTCTCGTTGCTGTAGCCTGCTAATTCGTTCGCTCCTGCTGCTTACCACGACAGGACATCGCCGCGTACGCGCGAATACACGTGGCGCGCGACAGGCACAACCTCGTTACCGTCCTCATGGCCGAGCGCCGCCTGCCCGTGCAGACCGCCATGCACGCGGCAGGGGCGCTAGTGAAGGAGACCGTACAGACGTTCCTTGCGAACGAGCACATGTTTCTCAGCCAAGGCCAGCCGGTGGACAAGGACGTGCGGCGGTATATCCAGGGCTTGCGGGATTGCATTGTCGGCGCGGTGCATTGGTTGTATGAGACGGACAGGTTCTTTGGCGATAACGGGGACGAGGTGAGGGACCTGGGGTGGGTGTTCGTGGCGGCGAGCTAGTAAGGAGCCAGTGAGCGGTAACGATGGCGGTCTCGGACTCACATATTTATAGACACTGATATAGCTCAGGTTGGAATTTCTAGCGAGCGGACAATCGTTTGGCCTTCAGACAGATATAATTTCAGAAATGGACTGTTCACGATGTCAGTACGAGTCTCCGTTTTCTGGTCTATCAGCTCATATTTCGCCGAAATGTACCCACACTCTCAGAGTCAATTCAGATGGAGAAAATCGTGTTTTTTTTCCAGCTGATGATTCCAATGAAGTAGTGTTCCGTCCACAGCGTTATAATGGTATATATAATACGAAGATGTTATCGATTACAAAGTGGTGTTACATCCAGAGTGAGTGAGTATGAACGATATAAATATTTCTTGCTCAGATGGAGGCAAAAAAGTAGCATATATCCCAAAGTAACGAATCATCTGCACGAAACTCACGACGCAACACTGCTATCCATCTGTAAATTCATGGCCAAGTCTGACGTGCTGAGCCAGCTACCATTCGTAGCAGGAACCATGGCCCCGCGTGGAGGAAGGACAGATGGCGTCGGGTTAGCATACTCCTCCCCGCAGTTCTTGATGATGAAGTCGTGGAGCATCTTCCCGTAGCGGTCTGGAAGGATGTATCTTAGCGACTGCACAATCAGAAGATATGGTCCCACACGTACATGCAATGGGAAGTCGTTCACCAGCCTGATACAAGACCATTCTGCACGCCAAAGTTGATAAAGTTTGTACAGTATCACACAGTGGGCCACGCTCACCGTATAAAATCGATTTCAACAAGCAGGTTGACGGACAGATCCGAGGTGTTCGAGTTGATAGCCGCTCGCAGAAAGCGTACCAGCACCCGGCCCGCCATGAACCACGAGACCTAATGTGGACCTGTTCAGCGCCACTTTCGTATACGAAAGGATTGAAAAGAAGCGTACAGCAGCGAACTGCCCTAGAAGTGACAGATCGTAACTGGTAGCACAGACATCGTACACGAGGTTGAGGATCCCTCGCGCAGCGTTCAGAATCTTCAGTGATGACTGGCACGCCTCAGAACCGACCGCGGCATGGGTTTCGTGGAGGAGAATGTGCGCCCTGAGAGATCATAAATACGTTGTCAGCCAAAGATAGCAATACGAAATGACGGACTTGGCACGTACAGCAAGGGAGCAGTGAACGCCGCGAACAGATGCGGGTTGACGAGATTGTTCTGCACGGGATGGCGCAGGTTCGTCGGAAACGAATTCTGGAAATCCGTGACGAGGCCGTTAAGCTCGAAAAACGCGGGCGTGTTCCTGATGTCCTTTGGCTGCATGCAATCCGTCTCTCCGATCGTCGTGTGAACAGTGACGCTAGGGTCTCCGGCGTAGTATCGTGCGCGAAAACGGATATTGAAGTTCTTCACTCGCGAGAGCAGCATATGCGCCTTGATATAGAGGACAAACGCATCGGTCTGTTCTGGCGGGTGGTTGAGCAAGACATCGCGGTCGTGCGACCATTGGCGCTCTTTAGGCGATATTGCGATCTACAGAAGCATCAGACGATCATTCATAGAGGTTCGAAACCGGACTTACTCCTTGCTCGAAGTCTTCTCCGCGAATGGGAAGCATTTGAGAGACGTCCAGGTCGTCTAGCATGAGCGCCCATCCGTGCCCGCAGCTCATCGCCCGTTCTTGTGCGTATGCTGCACCAAACGTTAGCCCAGGCACGAGGGACATACGCGAGGATGACGGACATATCCAGAAGGTGTTCCGCCTCGTCTCGTCTTCCACCACGGTCTTGGATGGCGGTATTATACTTGGTGGGCGTAGGTTGTCCGCTATCGTATAGACCGGCGAACAAACGTTCAATCCAATCGGCGTGCCAGAGCGCAAGGCTCGGCACATCGACATGTAAGCCTGGTACAATAGTCAAGCTACAGGGTCGGTATGTCTGAGACATTCCGTACCTCTGCCCATCTGAAGTATTGATAATCATTAGTCGTGAGCAAGGGAGAAAAATAGGGCTGCTCAGCTTACTTTGCGGATGCCCAGTACCATGAGCTCAACAATACTTCGGCTAGGGTATTTTCTGTCAGTTGATTAAAAAAGCAATTCAGGGCAGCTCGATAGCACCTTGCACTACCTGGAACAGCTCTTCACCCAGCTCATATGAGGAGTCGATCGCATGCCGCGCATATCGCGCCTGTATTTCGGCGAACGAGTCAGGCCTTTGTTCGCTCACTTTGTGCTTGCCATCAAACGGGTCATCTAGCGTTGTACATGAACTTGTTGAACTTACGGAAGAACTGCACAAGACATACCTATAGGAAAGGGTGACGAGGTGGGATGCGGTGCGGGTGCGACGGCGGCTGTGTAGAAGCTGCCCAATGCACACATCGAGTGGAGCAATGCCGTCAATGGGAACTTGGGGTGAGTCGGTGGCAAAGACAAAGAAGCCATGAACGTTGGTCGGTGGAATAATCGGTTGGCGTCAGGGTTGAACGAGAAATATGCGTCAACTCTACATGGAAATTAGATAGGCAGCCGAGGTCTCGAGTGAACGGCTTACAGGTGACGCAACAGATCAGAACTGGGCAGATTTCGCGGCCACGCCAATGAAATGACCTCCAAGACAGAATTGGAAGGGAGCACGCAAGTTGATGCATGATTGGTCTGAGAAAACCCATGTGTACGGGATGCTGGTTCGGTGGCGGAGACGGAGTCACTATCGACCAGCATAGCAGCATCCGCGAGACTGTCCAACGAATTATTAGATCGAGCAGACAAGAATCCCAAAGTGAGGGCAGGATCGGCTACAGACAGGGCAGGATCGATGTTCGCGTAGCTATTCATCGACGCAGGGGAGCCACCGCCAAGCTGAACCGAAGACGCGCTCGAGCCAGCCCGGCTAATGGGAGAGTTACTTGACATTGTCAATTCCGGTGTGCGGACCGGCTTGTCTCTCTCCGCGAGGAGCGCTTCGAGCTCGTCTGAAGTCGCAAGGCCGGCGTTAGGACGACGCGATCGGGAATCACTCAGCTGATAGTCACTTATTCTGCTCTCCAGACGCTCGAAGCGGCCCTTCGGCGGCTCTCGTTGCTCGAGGACGGGAAGATCGGGGACTACGAAATACTGGTCAGCAGAAGCGCAGAGTCGCGCCGATGACGCCCACCCATGTCGTACGTGCACTCCGGCGCAGGAGGCATCTTCGCTCCTGGTGGAGCGTGCGCAACAGCGTATGCGTGCGAGCGAATGCATGTCGAACATGGCCTCTTTGCGTCACTATACAACGTAGGAAACTCCGGTTAGCCCACCATCCTCCGTACGACTCGGCCTTCGGGCGATGGCTGAATTGACCGACCATTTCTATATTCGCATATTCGAGATCAGTCAAGTATAGCACAAAGACTGTGAGTCTCACCAGCTTGCGTTTGCGACACTGGTGGCAGGCCTGGTGGCATTGTCAGCAATCTATGGCTTTGACCTGACCGTGTGACCCGCGCGCTTCGGTGGCACCAGGACTCACTTGGTTTCTCCTGAGAACATGCGCATTCTGTGGCGACACGGTGCCATGCACGTGTGCGAAGGTGGAAGAAGCAGCCTTCGGCATTGTCGAAAGCGAATGTGCGTGGGCGGTCGGGGATGCTCAGCAAGGGAGAGGTCGAAGGAGGCACAGCCGCTTTGAATAGAATTCAACCCCGAGGCATGGCCGGAACATACCCGAAGGGGATCCAGCGCCATCAGTCACGGAAGTAACGAACGTCACGCGCCCGCGAAGAAATGAAGCCCACAAAATACAGCAAAAATCCTCATTTTTGCTACTGCGAGCGGAGGACGAAGTGATTAGGCAGATTGGCGTATTTCATCCATCCATGATGCAGTCTGTTGATACCCGGCGAGTGCCTAATTTACACTGGGGGCATTTAGCGCGTTCGGCCTGATCGGGCGCAAAAGAACAAAAGAATCATGTCAATCAGACAAGTTATTGTAAGCATGGCTTGCGGCTTACAGGACTAGGTTGTCGCAGCTCCTGGACGGCACTAGAACGTTATCAATTAGAGCGACTTGAATATGCGTTGTCTAAACTCATTGTAGTAATCTTGCAGAATTTTCTCTCGCTCTAAATAGCGACCAAATCGTCAGATAGGCAGTGGACGCAAGGATAGTTCAGATGATGTTTATCAGCGAGCGATATACGTAAGCATCAAAGTGGATAATCACATTAAACCGCCATACCGCGAACCCATAGGGCATTTGACCTGCAAGTCGCAGATATGCGGAATCTTCTGCAAGTGCAAGCAAACTCGGTGCAACTTAAAACAACACTTGACGGGGAGCGTTTTGCACAAGACCTAAATATCGACCCATAGCATTGAGAATGGGAGCATGAGGAGGATAACCTCGTTCTGAGTGTCGGGAACTGACGGTGAACAAGCCTGTTACACGAGCAGACACGGTTGCAGGGATGAATATATGCATCTGCGTGAGAGGTTGAGTTGTTCGGTCATGTAGTCGCGATTAGCTTCCGATTTTGATTGCTCACCGTATGTTGTTCGTCGAACTTGGGCGGTCGAATTCGTCGTAAAAGACAACCATTTGACGGCCATGGCTCGGTCCATGCAGAGCCACTGCAGTGTGACAGACGCGTCAGTCACGCATCTCACGACGCGTCAGTCACAACACGCCACAGCCGCCACCGTGACCCCACGCTTGTCCTTCATCCGCCACCACGTATCCATCCCCTGGCCGTCATTCCTCAGTTCACGACTGTCGCCTTTCCTGGACATTATGCCGCGCAGCAAACAAGTGTCCTCTACCGTGACCGCAGAGTCTCAGCAAGATGCTGTCTCAGAAGGAATCGAAAACTACGAGCTTCCAAGAAGTCTTGTGACGAAGCTTGCGCGTTCCGGAGTATGTGCAGGTAGCGTTTAGGTGTGATGGTCATAATGATCGACGGTGCTGTAGATGTCGGAAAACATGAAGATGCAGAAAGAAGTCGTGTTGTCACTCCAGAAGTCATCAACCGTGTTCATCAATTACCTAGGTATCGCCCTTAGCTATCGCCCACCACGATCTGTACACTGACGTTGAGCATAGCTGCGACAGCGCATGAAGTAGCAAGCTCGAAACAGCACAAGAGCATATCAGCATCGGACGTTCTGAAGGCACTTGAGCTCCTCGAGATGGGTGATATGGTGCCGATGCTCCAGAAAGAACTACAAGGTGTGCTTCTTGCATTTCTCCGTTGCATGGCAGGAAGTGACACGGACTTCAGTGTACCGCGAGTGCCAAAAGTCAGACAAGGGTCGCAAGAGCACAAGCAGTGCTAAAGGTCGGGGCCGGGAGCAAGGCGAGTCCGCGTCCGCGTCTGCGTCGACATCAATATCGCTGAAGGTCAAGTTGAAAGGCAAGGAGAAAGAGAAGGGCCCGACGATTACCATCAGCCGATCTCAGATTAGAGGCCCCTCCGTAGCGGCGGCGGCGCAGCCTGAGGCCGAGGTCGAGCCCGGGCTTGGAAGACAAGGTGAAGGCACAGAGCAGGTCGATGAAGATGAGGAGATGGCGGAAGCTGACGATGTCGAGGAAGAGGATGACGACCTGGAACCGGGAGAGGAAGATGAGCCGGAAGATACGATGGCTGTGGAGGAGACGCGGAAAGGGAAAGGCACAAATCGTTCTGACGATGACTGATGTGCGTGTGCTGCTTTTGTGCCCGCTACTGAGGTCAACCGGGTATAGCTCATCCAGGTTTATAGGCCTCGCTAGTTTGCTGAGGGGCTCCTGCTTTCTACGTTATAGGTCAGTGCTATTGCGGAGCATGCATACAAGGTCCGGGATAGACCGTTAGCTCATCTATCGTCCTCCTGGAAGCGTCCACATTTGTCTAGGTCCGTTATGCATGCTCATCTTTCTCAAAGCGCATATGCAAGTTTTGATCAGTCTCAACCCTGATTTTCCGACGTACAAACAATTTGATCTTGCTCCTCCCTCATTCGGTCTTGCGATTGCGGGATGGCAGTATGGTAAGTCCACACCTATTTAACAAGAGGCAATCTCTGATACCCCAGGCTGCAAGCTCAAGTCTTCTATGCTGATGAACAACGGGATGCTCGTGGACTCGAGTAACGTGATCCGTCCGATTCCGGGCAGTACTTGCTCAATGGCTCCCCTGCCACACTGTTCCTCAGAGTGCAGACTTTCTCCATGACAGACGCGGACGGCAATGGTTCGATAGAGCACTTCTCATTCGTCGCGCAATGTTCATCTGCCAATATCGCCTGGGAATTGCTCTTCTTCGGCAAAAGACCTTGGCGAGCCATACGGTCTTTTCAAGCGCGCGAGCTGTGAGCGTTCTCAATGCTTCTCCTTTTGCTCGCGTCCTCATTCCCGCGCCGTACGGCACATGACATTTTGACTGACTGACATCTCACGGATGTATGTGACGTTGGTGGCAGGCAGCATCTTGGACCAATGGTATCCAACCCGCGGCTCGACCTATATGGTCATAAGACTTAGTTCGCGAGCCTTTCACTCGCCTGTCTCGATCCCGAGGTCGTCGGGACATCGTCACCATCGCTCTGGCTTTTGCCGATCATTCGGAAGCGACAGGAGCTGCCGCAATCGCCCTGCGGCAAGCGTTGCAGCCATTCCGTTCGATAGGGCATTATGACCTGAAGTGAGTACAGCGATGATTACAGCACTGTTGAGTATAAAAGGAGAATAAGCGCTGTTGCAGAAACGAGCCAATCTATTGTCATGAGCGGAAAGTTCGAGGCAGCGGCAAATTTAAGCTACCCGCGGTATGGAGTTTGGAAGGGACCCGCGTAGCTTCGACAGCTCGGTCCCAGTCAATCTCCATCCCTTCTGGCGCTCGCGAAGCTGTGCGCTGAGCCAACGGCTGCACGCGTTGGAGGGCTCGTGTTTGGCGACAATAACCGCGAGCAGATTCCTCTCCCAGCAACATCTCCGCATGGCTGCTCGTGAGTAGCAGCACGTCCTTTACTGCACACTTGATCGGTCATATGTGCTTAGAGACTACACAGATGCTGGAGTTGATTATCAGATAACTTCAAAGTTCTCATAGGAGTGTGGAATGGCTCGCACACTCCTATGGGAGCCTCAGGGTAGCGCTATTCCCTCAAGGGATATGGATCAGCACTTGCCAGCGCTCGGTTGCCCTCAGCGGGTCTTGACTGATCCTATACCGTGCGATCTCGGGGGACCTTGCACCACATGAAAAAGCGGTCCTTAAGTAAGGTCATCGTCGATCTATTTCCGACGAACGTCTGTAGCAAGCGCGAACATGCACGCATCGTGAGTTCGGAGCTATCAGATTTGCCCCTGATTGGTTGGTAGTGTGAGATCGCATCAGGCCCGCGTATACATGTTTGTGGACGAGACAACCTTCGGCTAACCAGCTAGTCCTTCCACGGCTGTCAATGTTCCCGAACGAGGAGAATCATGCGCGGTGTTGGAAATGGTGGAAGCTTGCGGCATTCCATGACATCTCCATGCAATGGAGTAAATCCCAGGCATGGGAGAGGGGCAGCTACTTCAACATGTTATGAACGCGGCCATGTTGAGCGCACGCTCTTCCAGACTCCTCCCCACTTTCCAAGACCAATACAGTGAGCGTTCTGTGCTCTCCCTGGTACCACACAGCTGACGATGTTTCATCGAAGTACCGCCGTTCAACCGGCTTGGTACTAGAGACGCTAGTGCCACATTAAGAGTACTGGCTTCAACGCGAGTCCTTGTACTTAGCTTCGCTTTCGCATGACTATTGCACGCTAACGTCGACCCTTGACTGTCTCCTCTCTATCTCCAGGAGAACATATTCCTTGTACATAGGGGCTGTGTCTGCGACTCTGAAAATCTGAGTGGCCTCAGTGTATTCGGTATGCTCCCATCGAAAGCTCCTCGATATGGTATATTCTGAAGCAATGCAGATCATCTTCACGTTCAATATATAATGATTATTCATCATCATCGAGTTAATGCGGTCGCTCCGTCGCCACCGCTCGCGTCCATTGGGTCCTCAAGCGATGGCGAACCCGGTCCCTTCCTTCCAGCTTCAAGCGTACTGCACCATACACCACCAACGCTCCCGTACTCTATCGCTGACTCGCATCTCTATCGTTCTGCACGTTTAGCGTGGAATTCCCGCAGGCCGATAAACTGTATACCCATCGAGCTGCTGATACATACATTCGCCCATCACAGGGACACTGTTGGTCCTTTGTCGTGGGTATTGGTGTCTCACGTCTGCCACCATTGGCGAGAGGTGGCCATATCCACACCCCTTCTCTGGACTTCCGTGCCTGTGGACAAGGGGCCGCGCGTCTCCGATATCTGGTTGCAGCGTTCCCATGACTCTCCGATGGATATCGTCTATCGAGGCAGAATCAAGAATGTGCAGATTTTTGCCGACACTATCCGTCCCCATATACATCGACTTCGTACCTTGCATCTCGGAACCTTATCGCAACCATTTGCGCATGCAATGATGTCGATGTTGCCGGAATCTACTTCTGTACTCGAGCATCTGCGCTTGCATGTGCTGCCGTACGTTACCACAGCAGGGTCTACTCTGGATTTCAGCATTGATCAGTTTCCCGGATTGCGCACCCTCTCACTCAGAGAGGTATCCTTGCGTAGCAGCCTCCAGATGGTGTACGGATTGACCGAGGTGGATTTGTCCGAAACTCTTGCTGGTCGTCCGGACTCGATGGAAGCCCTCCTCGACATCTTGCGTCGATGCTCTCACCTTGTTTCTCTTACGATCAGTGAACGTCGTAGTATCACTGGGAAGACCACGGATGCCAGACTGGGACCGGGCACCATAGTCCTACCAAAGCTGCAACGTCTCACGTTGCTCGCACATTCGTTCCTCATTCGTACGCTGTTGGGATCCATTACCGCACCAGCCGGTTCCAGCTTGAATATCAAATGCATTGCGGGCAATGTCTCGAGTCCACCCATTTCCTCCATCGTTCCAAATGACAGCGCTCGCTTACCGATGTTGGACAACGTTCGTACTCTGTTCCTATTCATCGACTCGAATATCTTCAAAATGCAGGCATGGAATGCCGCGATGCCCTCATCTAACATACAACTTTCGATGGAGATCGAGTGCGATCCTCCGGTCGATATGTCGTACCTATTTCCTGCCGCGCTCTGCGACCTCACGCAAATGTTCGCGTCGTCCCCCGTGACGGGGATGCATATTTACGGAGACAGGCGCTTCATGTCGGAACGGTCATGGCGGGAATCTCTCCTGTCGCTACCCTCATTGGAGAGTCTCGAGGTGGGGTCACGCGGCGAGGTTGCATCACTCTTCGAAGCTCTGCGAAACTTTAACCCGCAAACAACAAAGAGCATCTCCCCGAAGTTGAGAAAGCTTTCGATAACTGGCGTCGATTTGGACGAAGGAACCATAGCTTCCATCATTGCTACTCTTGAAGACCGTGAATCGAAGAGAAGGCTGGATATATTGGCTCTCAGAGGTCGCAATGGGAGTAGACAGTTGGACAGCTACACTGCGCATCTACTCTCCACAAAAGTAAGGAAGTTCTTGTACCGATGAGGCTCGCGTCGCCTAGGCGCATTCGACGAGGCCGGGGATGCGCTACAGTTATAGAGATTCTGTCCGATACACTGTCCGATCGGTATCTGCTTTATATCCCAAAATGTTCAAGTCGTCCATGACTTGTTTAGTCCTCGAAAGCCCTGGCTAATGCTGCTTGGTTGCTTGCTGGAATTCTGACTGTTCTCTCATTTCAGTGGTGATTAGAGTGTGGTAACTTGATAATCTGGATACTAGTAAATAATGGAGTGGTATGAGTTATTGAACGCGACGGAAAGTATGATGTCCAACGCCAGAATGTCCAGAGTTCGTGTAGAAAGCCGTCGTAGCGAATCACTTATTGAGCACTGCAACTCAGTATTCATCGCTAGGTTCGGAAGGTGAGACAGGAGAATTGATCACTGCTGGCAAGCCGGCCTCCTTCCATGCGGCATAACCTCCGATGATATCAGTCGCATTAAGCATTCCTATATCGTGTAATGACGCTGCAGCAAGAGAAGAGGTATCGCTGTCCTGGCAGAACAGGATGACACGCAAGTCGTAACGGTTCGCCACAGGCAGCCTTCTTGCAGATCGGGGATCGAATCGCCATTCGAGCATGTTGCGTTCGACCGTAAGGGCTCCATTGATCGTGCCTTCAGTCCTGCGTTGTGCCTCCGGACGGATATCCACAAGTACGATCGGCCACGGGCTGGCAGGATCATGCAACTCGTTGTAGGCAGTCTTTGGTGTGATTCGTTCTAGACGTGCACGGGCATCGGACAATAGTTGGGCCGCACTCCTTGAGCCGGGAGGCGGAACAAGCGGGTCTATGAGACTACGTGCTGATTTTCGGACAATATCCCATAGTGCGGCTTCATCAAATGACGATGCTCCAATATTCCGCGCCGAGCCTATCCATAGTCCCTTTCCAGTGACAGGAGCACTAGCGATCCTCCCGACGAACTTGGCATGAAACAACATTCCTGCCCGCTGCACGAAATCGTCCGAAGAGCCGCAAAACAACACCGGGCCGGGAATGTCTGGAGTGGTTCGAGGAGCAGCGACGGCGAAAAGGAAAGTACGAGTGAGCAAGGCATGTTTGAGGGATGAGGCGATGAGCAGGAGAAAGTGCTCATTGGCGGTATAGGAGAGTGTCAGAATGACTCCGATGCGACTCCCGTCGACTGTCTCGGCTTGGCGGATTGCACGCAGAGCCATACTCTGTGCGGTTTCCTCACGAACGTCATTTAATGTGCGACGGGGGTGCATCTCTGCCCGGTCTGATTCTTCTTCTATCGCGAACGGAAGCACGCGAGAGCGTCTCTGGCCATAGCTAAGACTTGATGCTCTTGATGATGAACTTCCGGGTCGAGCAGATAGCATGATAATCTGTGAATCGAGCTGATGCGGTCTTGAGATGGGGTTCTAACTTCGATGTCACGAGCTGCACAATGACGACCAGATATGCCTCACCTTGACGGTATTCTGAAATAGACTGCAGGAACTTACGAATAAAATGTGATCTGCAAGTATGTGCTCGATATACACTACAGCATCAATCCGACAGAGCTTCTTCCTTGCCACAGCTGTTGAAATATCTACAAACTTCCGTGAACTATGACAGAAGGACTGAGATTGATTGACGGAGAATCAATGGCACGACAAGTACGAGTGTGGAGACCTATCAACGTTGCAAAAGATGGCGAAGAGTAAGCAGGAGCAGGCCGTAGTGATCGACACGCACAATCACGAAGTCCATTTTAGACATTGCACAGCCACAGCATGTGGCCCCCACGCGGAAATGAATTTCTCGGCATAGCAGGTGATCTCAATCAACGGCCAAACCCTCGGCCAAATCGCGAAGAGCCGCGAAGGGACAGCTTGACTCATAATAGTGACCGTAATGGAAGCCGCCGGTGACCCTACCAGTGGACCACCCCGAGTTCGAGTGGAGTGTGTCCAGGCCTGTCGTCTTCCTTGCACAAGGAGAGTACGTATGCGTGTGTGACGGAATGAATATTTCAGCATGCAAACACGAGAAAAAAATTTGATTGTGTATTGTTTCATTTTCGAAACAGGCTGAAGCAAAAGCTTGCAACGAGGTGACCCTAAGCTGAAAATATTAATGACACATTCATCCAGCGCAAGTACCACAGCATCAAGCCATTGTCATAAATTCAAGGGTTTGAAGTCACGATCCGTCGCGGCAAGCGATGCAAGTAACATTTACCTCGAAGGCACGCATAGGAGATGGCGATCCTCGTGAGTGATTTTCATGCGACAGCTGACGAGCCGTCTGCGCTCATCTTAGCCCTGTACGAACGTTGATGAAGGTGAATGCAATCCCAGCAATCAATAAAAACTTGTCGTTCGCTGTGAATGGAAGGTTTTGATCCGGATCAATATGCTGCGAAGACATTATTGGGCTTAATGCTCCATGTCACTCGACGCGCGCGTGCACGGCCGAACCCCTTATAACTCGGAGGAACACGCAGGGTGTAACATTCTCTATGACTGTATACATATCAAGTTTGGCTACGTATGCGTGGCGATCGGATGAGCATCGCTGTAGATAGGGTGATTGAGGGTTGCTTCAACGAATGAATTAACGACGGTGGGCTCACTTACATGTCTCTGGGACGGGTGTGAGTGAGATATTAAAATCGGACTCGGCTGTCGAGAATTTACATACTTGAAGCGGGTTAGATGCCAGTGTGAAGTGCGACACGTCTCTTCTTGCCCGAGTTTCCATCTCCTATATGGTTGCAAAAGCCTCCTGCGTATGTTCTCGGCAACCTCTCAAGAGCACGTAAGTCAACACCTAATGGTTTAGAAGAAACTGCCATACTGATTGAATCGTTGTTGAAATCTCTTCAAATGAAGTGCCTACGCGATCACCAACCGGGATCAGAACGGTCAACAAAAAGATCAAGCGAAGAACAATTAAAGCGCTTGACTCCTGGCACACGCCTTCACCACGTCACTGCGCGCACCATATGTGATCGTGGATCTGGCAACTTGAATGCATGACACCGGGAGGGGAAATAACACTGTTCAGCCTGTGCATTGCGCTATCTCGAAGCTCAGGACATCAGACAATACAGATTCTCCGCGACTTTGATAAAACACTTCTATGTTGGCCTTGATTCAGATGTTTATGGAGGAGGTTGAAAGGTTGGGAGAGTTGGATACGAAACAAGGACGTCGTAGGACAAGATGAAACAGATTATGGGAGAAGCAAGGACACGTTAGCTGGCACGATGTAGTAAGAGATAACTTAATGATCGTCATCTGTACACCATGAAATACAGCGACTCGGAGTCGTGAACACAGCCAGACACGACACACCCTAGGATGTCAGCAAACTGCTGACGAAACAGAATTCGACTAATATGCTTACTTATACAGCAGCAACTTACTAAGACGATACTATCTTAAGTAGATTTTTTTCCACCCTGCAACTTCTTAGCGACAGCCATCAGTGAATCAAACCTTGCTATCGAGCAAGTGACTGCGCGGAAGTTCTGTTATGACCATGATGCGTAATGGACGTTTGCGAAAAACGCTGACTGGCTTTCCGTGGCATTGATCGATCTGAAAGGCGATCACACTAGAAACGTTTCACGATTTCTTCAAATCAAAAATCCAAACCGAAGTCTGTCGATAGTCGTCCAGAAATGGTCCTACAGTGGGCTCATGGCACATGCCGCCCGTGCGATGCTGGATTGGACGGGTCTTATCTTGTCAGGTGAATTTCCCACCGTCCCGGTACATATTGAATGATGACGGGATCTAAGAGAGACTCATATTTCGGACACAGCACGATCTCATGGCTAAATCCGACTGGCACTTCGCGGGCCGCAGCGGCACCGGGATCACGTTAAATGATGTCGCTAAGGTGGTCAACTTGCCCTTTAGCAATTCAGATGACACCATCTATCCCGAAAGCTCCAGCACTTGACCTGCACGAGTATTAAGACAATGCTTGGGTGCCCATAACGTAGCCACCCAGCTCATCTTGCATCTCACAATGCCCATCCCTCTGATCGAGGAAAGCGACGTCGATGTGCTCATCATTGGTGCTGGGCCCGCTGGACTGATGTGCGCCAACGCCCTGGCTAAGGCCGGGGTGGACGTCAGGATTGTAGATCAAAGGTCAGCAGACTTTGCGGACAGTAATAGTCACAGGTGTTCTTATATTATATGGCCTCCTGCGTAACAGGCCGGAGAAAGTAGCAGCAGGGCAGGCGGACGGTATTCAGCCACGGACGACCGAAGTATTCCAGGTGTGGCACCTACAGTACTTTCCTTACATGAAGTTGACGAGACTCATGATAGAGTTACGGTCTTGCCGATCGTCTGTTACGTGAGGGGAACCAGTTGCATATGGGTGTATGAAGCATTCATGCACATCTGACAATGCTTTCGCTCACAATTCGCCTGGACAGGCATTCTATAATCCGAGCATAGATGGTGGAATCGAGGTACCGCTGCGATCCGCCATTAGTGTCTCTCGCCTTTACCGAACGTTCACAGTGCACCAGACGAGGGTCGGTCATCAGCGTTCCCAGTGCTCGGTATCCATTCACGGTGAGCAGCGAATCCAAGTAGCAAATAACAACGTAAATCAACGGGCTCATGACATCACGGCTCAAGGTCGCGTTGCATCAAGGGGCGATCGAGGCAATATTCTTAGACTCAATGACCTCCTTGGGCATTGAGGTTGAGAGACCTGTCGTGCCTACTTCCATTGAGCTGTCTCAGGACGATGCGGTGCTGAAAGATCCTAAAATGCATGCGGTGAAGGTATCTACCCGTGTGCACACCGGAGTTCGAGTTATTGGGATTGACGATCTTTGTCGAGGTCGTGCTCAGGCATCTAGACATTCCTGAAGGCAAGCCTGACACTGAGATCGTTCATGCGAAGTTTGTTGTCGGTGCAGATGGTAAGACATGACGAGATCCGTGGAAGAGGAATGAATATTTGAACCCTAGTATCTTCATAGGCGCACACTCGTGGGTCCGCAAAAGCTTCGATATTGCGATGGAGGGAGAGCAAACTGGTGCGTTTCGCCACGTACCTACCGAATCCTTCGCATTCAAATACAAATGCGACAGACTATATCTGGGGCGCGATGGACATAATTCCCGAGACCGACTTGTCTGACATCCGCAGTTTGTGTATAATTCACTCCCACAATGGCTCCTGCTTGGTCATTCCGCGCGAGGGGGATACCGTACGTCTGTACATCCAGCTGACAGACACGGACGCTGTGGATTTCCAGACGGGGCGAGTGGACAAGAATAATGTGGGGCCGGAGAGGCTGCTTGAAGTCGCCAGGAAGTCATTCCATCCATATTCAATATCGACATTGCATGACATCCAATGGTGGACGATTTATATCAGTGGGTTATTCCACAGTGGCTTCTGTTGTGCGTCGCTGATAATCATTCAGTTGGGCAACGTGTGGCCTCTCGCTTCTCGGTACGCGAGAGGGTGTTTATCGCCGGTGATGCATGCCATACGCACTCTCCGAAGGGTGGTAAGCGCACCTCCACCCGGTTTCTATACTCCGCCATTCTTTATCTCACAAATCATAGGCCAGGGCATGAATGCCAGCATGAACGACACTCACAACCTGGGTAATTCGCAATTCCGTGCAATTTTGGTTCGCACTTTGAATGAGTCTAATAGCCTGGAAACTCGCACATGTCCTTCGCGGCTGGTCCGACATATCTCTTCTCCAAACTGTAAGCTACGTTGAAATTCCTCTCTCATCATACGTGTTTCGTTACTGATGTGATTGAGGTGGGCAGTACGAGTTCGAGCGTCGCAGGTTTGCACAAGAGTTGATCGACTTCGATAAAAAGTGGGCTGCTCTTTTTTCTGGCAAGCCCAGGACGGAGTCGCATCAAGATGGCGTGACGCAAGAGGAGTTCTTAGAGTAAGATTTCTTTTACTATTATCGCATCAAAATCGCTTACAACCTTGCTTCATCTCCGCAGAGCCTTCAACACATTCGGCCTATTCATGAGTGGAATCGGCGTTCACTATATCCTGTCAGCGGTGGTGCACACTCAGCATCAGGCATACGCAAGCAATCTCATCATTGGACAGCGCATGGTGCCACACACCTTCGTGAGAGCGGCAGATGCCCGGCCCTACGAGATACAGGATCTCCTCCCGGCAGACACACGCTTCAAGATCATCGTGTTCACTGGAGATGCCCGCGATAAATCCCAACTCGACCGCGTGATGAAGCTCGCCGCAGACTTGGAGCACCCGAATGCATTCCTCAACCGCTTCTCGAAAGGTGGCATCGCCAGCATCTTTGATATCCTGTGCATCAGTGCCGCTAAGAAAGGATCTCTGAGTTATACCGACCTTCCGGTATTGCTGCGGCCGCATTGGTCAAAGTAAGCAGTGGCTATGACTTGATAATGAATTGGCTGTGTTTATTGTCATCTATAGGGTTTTATTGGACGACACGGACATGTATGGACGAGTAGGTGGTGGAGGGTACGAGAAGTATGGTATTGATCCCCGAGGAGTGATCGTCGTGGTCAGACCGGATGGTTACGTTGGCATGGTTGCTCCCTTCGAAGAACTCGAGGATGTAGCTAGTTATTTCGCGTCGTTCATGTATGTCGTGTAGTACGTTCGCGACGATATGAATCGCAAGTCATGAGAAGTCCTTGATGTTGAAACGTCCGTGGGTCAGGACATAACAAACTGTGAACTGCCCAAGTCCTCAGCATCGATGACTCACTGTAACTGACGCATTTTTCATGGTAAGCGATCGCGAATATCCAGAGCTGCCGTTTCCACCAGAGAAAAGTCAATCGAATGCAAGTGTTGTACATGTACATACAAGAAGATCCGCAGAAAATTAATACAACCAGTGCATCGCTCCATGCCAAATGCCATCACTTCCCTTTAAGGATACTGTCGATCCGCACCGCGTGCTTTTGACGGCGTAGCTCTCCCAGAACGGGGAATCCCCAAACGAAAGTGCCGAAAACGTACGCGGCCTAAGAATTAGGAAGCTGAGTTTTACAGACCAAAGGAGAATATGGCCAATCAGAACGCACCCCGACGAGCAACGGCGTGCTGTGCTTCCAGCAAATCGAGAGCGCGTACAAGGCTTCCAGAGTATGCGCGGGCAGCAGGATGATGTACCAACAAAATGGCACTATCCAGGATGGGAGGATCGAGCGGGTGAAGTAGCCAGGGTGCCAGAGCGTGGAGAAATTCGGCGCAGAAGGCTCAGGTGCCCATGTAACGTAGATGAGCGACACAATCAGCGCCGTTGTCATCCATGCGTCGCGCGGGAAGCGGAAGGACGTGATCTGCGGCGCTTTAGCCTTCAAGCAAAGTTAGTTTGTTATTTCCTCGCAAGTTCGGTGCCGGATGCATACCATTCCTAATGCCTCCTCTGCATCCACCTTCATGCTCAGAAGACGTGGCTTGACTTCCTCGTAGCCTGCAAGGGGAGGATCAAACTCAACCCGAACTTCCTTCATGACACCTCGGTTGATCTTGTTCTGGTACGAAAGCGACATTCCCTGCAAGCCCATGCATCAGTGGGTACAGCAACGTCACGTAGGAGCAGACGATACTGACTTTCGTATCTATTGAAGTCATTTGCGCACCAGCAACATCGTCATTCACCTTGCCCCAGTGCCGTACGTACGCGACCAGAGTGTCTGGGTGGTTCGACATGTACATGCAGAGAAAGCCTGATTTGGCTGCGACAGGATCCGCCATATTTAGGCTGTGACCAGTACGTGCTGCGTCGCTGCTACGAGAATCTACCCAGGCAAGGCGGCGTATGTGGTTTAAGTGCTGGTGCGTTATAAGCGTGCGCGAGAACCCCAAAGAGAGTCCGGCGCAAACACCAATTGCAGCGAAAGGATTAGCGAAAGGCAAGCGGGAGACGTGGTCATCACCTGACCGTGGCATGCAGTAGCATGCTGTGGCGCTGAATTCGTCGCCACCACGCAACGACCCACCATGGACTCACTGCAAAAGATATTCGAGGGCAGGATTGTGAGCACGGGTTGTGCGCACGATCACCCACTTTCTCATCATATATCATAGGACTTTGAGGGCCAGAAATCGGTCGAACAAATCACACGCATTACGCTGATCGGTGCGACGGTCAGTGGCACGTACTTATGTCTGCCTGGATGCATCTGACTTGATTCATGCATAGATTGTCTCGTTCATTCTTGGGTTTGCGCTCCAATCCTTGCGTGTGACTTTCAGCACGTTCGGCCTTGCCGCCATCGCTCTATTCTTGGTTAGTCGCCCCATGTTCGAGTTTGGGATGCGCTGAAAGAGTGCCACAGGTCGTCTTGCCACCATGGCCTATGTTCAACCGTCATCCTGTCAAATTTCTTTCTCCTAAGGAGAAGAAGCGCTAGGAGGTATTTGGAAGGTCTGGCGGTGTGCTCGTGTGTCACGGCACACTTGCATTCATGCCATCATTTTGGAGGGTCGACATCGTTATCAGCCATCAGCTGGAAGAGCCTAACTACACAACCACGATTCAGTCTGTACACCACTTCTCCAAGAAATGCATACGGTGATGTCGTGTTCCGTGAATCAGTGAATGGGGACGACGTCAGACGTGCGTGCCGGACAACGTGAAAACGGCGTGGAAGCGTCTTACAGTTTCAGTTGAGTCGCAGTCGCTTTCTTAGTGCTTTCTAAGCAACACCGAAGAACGCTTCTGCACCCTCCGATCGCCTCGCAAGAAGAACCTGCGCATCGCGGACTGCTATGCGCATGCAAATCCATGGATGACATCGCAATACAGTCTCCTTCGGTGGATAAAACTGCGCAGCGTCTTGACGCTGTTGCCTCATTGCGGGAGACGTCCAGGTCGGTCCAGTCTTACGAAGCAGCTCGGGAGCTGCCCGATACCTTGCAGAATATCTCAACGAGCCCGACATATGTCTGCCATGCTCTAAGGTCCGCGGCTGTACACGCAACATATGATCACGTCAAAGGGGCGAACCTTTTATTCGTGGACTCGAGTGGTTCAACCGTATGATGAAAATCGATGCATGATCTACTATTCTCGTCAGAACGAGTGCATTCGCGCATATCAAAGAACGACCACAGCGGATCTACACACATGAGGTGGTTGCATGTTTTCTGAGCGAAGTGGGGGAAGCATTGATTTACTCACACTAGTGCTGCCTTGCTCTCAGCGACATCCTTTCGCGTAATGGTCATATCGAGGCGGTCGCCCCAGTGGGCGACCGTTAAATCACAGCTCGCTCTGTTCAAAATCGATTCGCGGAGCTACATTTGCGCAAGACTTGTGAAGGGACGGAGTGTTTCCGTAACAAAAGCGATCACGACACCGGAGCACGCCTCGTGGTTGCAGGCATATAACAGTAGCGGAAGCCCCAAGACGCTCGACGCATCGCGTGCCACCCGGACCACCACGCCATGTCAGGAAGCCGATTCTTCTCTAGCTTAAGACGACGCGCAAGCCGCGGCAAGCATGCTGTACAGAGCAGCTCAAGTTCCGACCACTCTCCTTCACCAGCATCAGCTTCCGGATCGACCAGCATGGGCAACACTACCAGTGCCTCTGTCTCAGCGGAGCGCAAGCATGCTCTGGATGACAAGACCTCAGCCAATCCCTCTGCTCCTCATCTCCCTTCTATAGAGACGCTGCAGGCAGCATCGGACGCGAAAGGGACAAGCGAGGGTCGAGCGCATGAAGACGTCCAAGCCTCTCCGAGAGATGCAAGGCCACCGAATGGCGAGGCGGGCGGTTCCGATTCGCTACTGTCAAGCCATTCAGCAGAGGTTGCGAATGCCACTGTCGGCGAGGGTCCAGTCGAGCAGGTAGAAACGCGTGGACATAGCCAAGAGGTCGTGTGCCGCGAAGGCGAAGCGTTGCATATGCATGGCTGGACGCCAGGCATGTATGTCTTGCTCGACGCACGGAACGGGACCGCGCTGGACCTTTCCGGTGGGGATCAGAAGACATTGATCTGTCTCCCTGCGCACATGGGGCCGAACCAACAAGTACGTGCTAGTATTTCGCCCGTCCATTCATCGTGCGATAGTGACTTGCGCATACAGTGGGAATTTATTCCCAGTGGCAAAGGATACACCATTCGTAGTGCATGTGCGTCCTCGCGGGGGCTCTATCTGACACTGGAGGACATATATGACAATGCGCCGATCGTTGCAAGTCCCTTCCCCGCTAGCTGGAATGTCCAAATCGATGAAAAGGAGGAAACTCTACGGTGCGTACCATGTCCGGTGCTATCAGACCGTGTGCGCTGCTAACACCCGCATATAACATAGTATCTCGTGGCCAAACACGGAATATGTGATGGACTTGATTGATTGGGGGAATGCGGAGCCAGGAGCCAAGGTAAGTGCCAAAGAAAGGTTCACAAATGATCCGCACGATAGTGATTTTTCTCTCTTTGGCATAGGTGAAGCTGATGAAAGAGAAGCCCGGAGAGCGTTGCCAGACATGGAGGTATATACGGTGCAGACCAGCCGAAGAACAAGGGGAGAAGGTGGCCGAGAGCACATCAAAGCCGATCATCTCGGAGACAGTCATCGTGGCAGAGGGGAAAGACTTCATCACAACGACGAGGACGACTACGACGACGCTGATCACGACAGTCACGACGGTGGCTCGGACGGCGCGCTGAAGTCCAATGTCTTCCGGGAATATAATTTACCACAGCCACAAGCAAGCCGAACGCTGTATTTAATCATCATCTTGAGTACTTGTACTTTGATGTATTTGTAGTGATGAGTCCTGTTACCGCAAAGCGCCTTGTCAATGAAATGATTCCGTAGTAGTAGCTGCCATTTCTCTATATGAGCACACGATGCCAGGATACTTCACAGCATTCGATTGTTCTTGGGTTGGGCAATTTTATGGATTGGGGTAAGATCGTTCGGCATGTACGCCAGCTGAAAGCTGAGACGCATCGTAAGCTGACTGAAGTTGCATACATACCTTTCCATTCATAGCCAGCTCAATCTGATTTGCAGTTGAGGATGATGGCAAGCAAGTGGCTTCTTGACGGGGAGAAGGCAGTAGGCGAACCCGTTGCATCAGTAGCATAAGATCTACCCGGTTTTGCGAGGCTTCCAAGCCAGAGCGCATATAAGGACAGTTAAGCGAGCCAGCAGCTAAGCCATACTTCCATTGCTAGCCGTTCAAAGTCGTCTGAGAAGCATAAATTGTACGGGTCGCATTCATGCTGGAGGATGCGCCACACATTTTGTTAGGATCCGACAAAATCCTAGGACCTTGTGCTCGCCTCATATTCCTCCCCTTCAGCCCCTTCACTGCCTATAGCGACCAACTGGACCACCGTACCAGCAGAACCGAATAGGTAAGGCACAGCGATCGTATAAGTCAACGTCATCGCTTGCCGAACGTGCTCAGCATTGAACTATAGCGCGTTTGATAGTCGTCGTTGTGGTCGCAATTCTCCATCTTGATGCGAGACGAGAAGAGATGTCCAGAGCAGATGTAGAATGAGGGGAGGAGGACAGACACTGAGTCGTTGCGCAAGCGAGGCGTGACGGCGCTACGGCGCCGAATGACCTCGACCGACAAGAGCGCACGGACTTTGCCTTTCGACGTCGCCGCCCGCGTCGTCCACCGACGGCGACAACAATCACGAACTTGTCAAATCGTCAAATCAACGACTTCCCACCGTTTCATCGACAAGGCAATTCCGTCTAGGCCTATTCCCCTACAATCCCGACCAACGATAATCCCACCAGTCCTCACGTACCTCCCTGCATACCGATAGCGACGACTTTCTCCACGACACTACTTTTTTTCTGATCATCGTCAACAGGGAGCCCTTCAAGTTAAGTTACGGAGTACGTACACGCGTGGTCAGCAGGCGCACGCCTACCCGCTTTCGGAACTGCCCCTTGCCAACATTCTCCCCGAGCGTCCGCTTGCTGTTCTAGTGGCCAATGGCGACCTACCCAACGTCGTTGACAAACCAGCCAGGCCAGCCATTGCCTCAAGTAGCGGAGGAAGGCGAGACGACGCCGTCGCACGGCGGCATGGTTGTCGGCCACGAGTTCGATGTCCCGATCTCGCCAAAGCCGGTTTCTGTCACCCAACCACAACTACCCGGCCGCGAACAATCCCAGCTCCAGAGTATAAATCCGCCTAGTCGTCCGCCCAGCGCGCAGAATCCCATTCCTAGACGGTCTGCGTCCACCGTTCAGAAGCTACGGCCCGTCTCCATGCCCCCGCAGAGCTTTGCCACCCCCGACCGCAGCGACCGCGACCGCCAGCAAAATGATGACGGCTCACGGCGGGAACAGCCTTCAGGCAGCAGGCCGCGCAGCACGAACAGGATTCTTGGGGATTACACGCTGAGCAAGACGTTGGGTGCGGGGAGCATGGGCAAGGTTAAGCTTGCTCATCACAACATCACTGGCGAAAAGGTGCGTCTTGTGTCGTCTCTTGCTTTACTCACTTTAATTTTGTATCTTCTGCATCAGCTCGCGGTCAAGATCCTCCCGCGAGCGTCGCCACCGAGTGGAGCCGTGCCGACCTCGGAGGCAGCGGCCAAGCAGGCCTCCAAGGATGCCTCAAAAGAGATCCGAACGCTGCGCGAGGCAGCGCTGTCTATGCTGCTCCATCATCCGTACATCTGCGGCATGCGTGAGATGATTGTGCATGCGCACCACTATTACATGGTCTTTGAATACGTGAACGGCGGTCAAATGCTCGACTACATCATTAGTCACGGCCGCCTGCGCGAGCGGGTTGCGCGCAAGTTCGCCCGCCAGATTGGGAGTGCTCTCGACTACTGTCATAAGAACAACGTCGTCCACCGGGACCTCAAGATCGAGAACATTCTCATCTCACAAACGGGAAACATCAAGATCATCGATTTTGGGCTCTCGAATCTGTACGATCCCGCGAGCCACCTCTCGACGTTCTGTGGCTCGCTCTACTTTGCCGCACCTGAGCTGCTCAACGCGAAGGTGTACACCGGTCCCGAGGTTGACGTTTGGAGCTTCGGCGTCGTGCTTTATGTGCTCGTGTGTGGCAAGGTGCCCTTCGACGACCAGAGTATGCCTGCGCTGCACGCTAAGATCAAGCGTGGTTTAGTGGAGTATCCTGTCTGGCTCAGTGCAGGTGCGTAGGTGATATTTCTCGACCGTTCGCCTTTGGTTGACTTTCTTTGCAGAGTGCAAGCACTTGCTCACTCGTATGCTCGTCACAAACCCGGTTAACCGCGCGTCGTTGACGGAGGTACTTAGCCACCCGTGGATGGTGCGTGGCTTCAACGGCCCACCCGACTCACACCTCGTCCACAGGGAGCCGTTGCGTGCAGATGAGCTCGATCGGCAGGTGATTCGTGGCATGAAAGGCTTCGAGTTCGGCACCGAGGAGGATATCGAGCACAGGCTGGTCGAAGTCCTCGAGTCTGACGCCTATGGTCGCGCGGTGCAGCATTGGGAGCGCAAGCGCATGATTCCGAACGGGCGCAACGGAAATGGGCGCCAATGGGGCGAGTCGTTCTCCAACTCGTCGCTTGCGGTTTCCCAGGATGGCACATACAACACGAATGGCAAGCACGAGTCTCCATCAAAATCAAAGCGCCGATTCTCAGGCTTCGACTTCTACCGCCGCAAGTTCTTCTCACCCTCCTCGTCTCCGCCGGGTTCGCCATTTGCAGGTTCCCCACCAACCTCCCAATCCCATCTCTCGAATACATCCCTTGTTGATGCCAGCCAGCGCGAACCACCAGATCCAACGTATGGCTTCCATCCGCTCATCTCTATCTACTTCCTATCGCGAGAAAAGATGGAGCGAGAGAAGGTCTATGGTCCCGGTCACTTTGCCAACTCGCAGCTCTCTCTCGAGACGCCACAGGGTGAGGCAGCCCCAGAGGATGCCAATATGCCAACGAACGCGAAGCAGCTCTCACAGCCCACAGTCCGGAAGAAGGACACTGTTGCTGCGAAGCCAGATTACAGCATGCCACTTCCGCGTTTGCCTGCGCCGGAGACATCACACTATTCTGGCATGTCGTATGATCCTTCTGCTCCGGGCCCATCGCCTGTTTCGCCCACGTTAGCGGCACAACCGCGCGCCCGTGATGCTGCGTTAACTGGACCCAGATCGCCTGTCCTGCCTGCGTCAGCACCGAATACGGCGACAAAGGTGCAGATGAACTTACCCCGTATCCCACCTGCCACCACGCACCGTCGAAGTCATAGTCTCAGCAAGCAGCCAAGTATGGGGAAGTCATTCGGGGGGAGGTTCGGTGGAGGCGGCGTCGAGCCGGTCAGCGAGGACACCATGCTCAGGCCTCATCCGGACGCGCTGGATGCTCCGCGCTCTGCAGGACCTGACAGGACGTCATACGCAGAGCACGCAGATGACGACGTGCGACCGCCCATGTCTGCAGGGGCGACGCTGGTGCGTAAGTTTGGCAGCTTGCTGGTCGGGAAGAGCGATGAGGGGCGGAGATCTCTCTCCCACGGGACAGCCAAGCGGGGGAGCATCCTTCAGTCGTTCTCCCCACGGCCGTCTGCAGAGGTCACGGAGATGGCGGTCGATGAGCACGGCACGCTGGTGCATGAAGAACGGAACGAGGATGGACTCAGGAGCCATGAACCCGTGCAGGCTAGTACGATCACGCAAAGCCACAGCCAGCCGATCGCTTCCCCACATCGGCGCGCTGCTACGGTCTTGGATCCACAAGGACGGGCAGCACGGCATGAGCGGAGAAATAGCACGGGAGCTGCGTTCTTCTCGAATGTTGGCGGTACCATCGGACGCCATCGTCGGCAATCCACGGGCTATTCGAGCGAATACAGAAGGGCTGCAGGAGACAGGACGTTTGAGAGGACCGACGAGGAGGACGAGGGTGCCGAGCTCAATCACGGCATGCCTGAGTCGTCAGTTACGAACAGGAAGGGTGCAGGGCGGTCGTCCAAGGATGAGGAGGGCCATGGCGAGGAGAAGGAGTTCAAGCCTGTTTATCTCAAGGGTTTGTTTAGGTATGTTCTGAGATGGGGCACTCCATCATGACTAATATATGTGCTGCGACACGGATAGTGTGGCAACGACTTCGACGAAGCCTCCGTCAGTAATCAAGGCCGACATCCGGCGTGTCTTGGACAGAATGCAAGTACAGTATCGCGAGACGAGGACCGGCTTCGAATGCATTCACTTGCCATCCATCGACGTATCTTCTGTTCAGCCACCACCGCCTTCTGAGCGCCAACATCGCAAACGAGGCTCTGCAGGTTCGAATGAGACTGATACGACGAAACGCTCGATTGTCCGAAAGACGTCCAAGATGTCTTTTGGGAATAAGAGCGCGAACAAGACGCCCGAAGTCAAGGAAAAGGAGCTGCCCAGCCGACCATCTGGCACAGGCCTGAGTGCAACGACGAGCAGCGCCTCATCATCCTTCTTCCATGTATCATCCACTGCCCACAATGCGCCCGTCGAGGGTGTGCGGTCCGACACCGCTGAGCCGACGGCGAACCAGGCTGACGAACCAGTCGCCCGTGCTCAATCAATCAGCAAAGGCAAAATATTGCCGCCTATACCCCGTACTTTTGCTTCAAGCCCGCCGCCGTCTTGTCCGACACCATTACCTACAGGAGAGGTTGACTCGGACGTGTTTGAGAGCATGGGCGCTAGCTCGCTCGCTGTCCGGTTTGAGATCAACATTGTGAAGGTGCGTCAGTGATGTCAGTCGTTAGCCAACAGATATCCTAAGTCTATGTATCATGCAGGTACCATGGCTTCCACTTCATGGCATTCAGTTCCGACGCTCAGGGGGCGACGGGTGGCAATACGGTATGTTGGCTCGCCGAGTACTGACCGAGTTGAAGCTATGACGTTGGCGCCTCGATGCATTTCTGTATGGGTTTGGCCATGACTTGACGACGTCCCTCTTATCAACTTACATCTCACTATTCTTTCCGGTTCCCTGTTTTTACTTCCTCCTCACTTTCGTCTCGCTCTCGGCGTCAGCAGTAGACCGTCACCTCCTTCCTTTGAGTTTCTAATGATCGCTTTGCATATGCTGCTACTATTAACATACGGTTCTTTACCTGTATCAATGCTATACCATCGGGGATCTTTGGTCAGTGAATACAATTAATGTCGGCCAGAGCTATTACCCCAACTACCAACACGTCGGTGAAGCTATGTCGGGCTGTCAACGTCAACAATGGCGGTTAGCTGAGGATCCCGCGTCTGCGGATACTTTCACCAGCCTAAATGCCGCGCACACTGCGTCAGGCGCTAATTCACCTCATCTCTCGTCGTTAGCAACGTGCATCCAGGTTTCGCAGCTCACGCGTATTGTCCACAGCTTGCCATAAACTCGATGTGAATATTATTCAAGATGTGCCGATTGATACTTATCGCAACTATCTGTCCAGCGCGTTGTATAGTCGTGCGTTCTGTGCAACAGTGCAATAGAGTGATCTCGACGGCTGAGAAGCCAGTCTCTTCACTTTTTGGGTCCAAGGTACCGTGGACCTGATTGCAATTGACGTTCTGTCACAGTTATATCGAAACCAGCTGCCTCAGATTCGCCTCGGTCTGAAAGAGACAGTAACACGGTACTAGGGTAACTTACAAACAACTACAAAACTTAAGCGGCCACACAACTGTGACGGAATGTTCCAACATCCACTGATATAGGCATTCACTGACTCAGATGTACGTCTAGTCACGGTCGCAATATCAATGGGAACTCATTGCAATCTTGCCCGTGTTTCAGCTATGTCATCATAGGCAAGTCTCATGTCAGCCCACTCACTGCCTAGGTGTACCTCTTCTCTCCAATTCTCTTCTTCTATTCTCGTTACCGCGCGATCTGAACCCCGGAGCCTGCTCATAATCTGGTAACTGTGTTCTCTGGCGCATCAGTCGAGGAACTCGACCACAAACCATACGTGAACACGTCCCTTGGTTTCTTGTCTGCGTCCAATCCAGCCTTTTCCTGATTCTCACCTTAATCACGCTCCTAGGAGAGGCTCGCGGGCATAATGGAACCACATGCGGTGGCGGCGGAAGCCACAGTGGTCTTACCGCAACCTGCGCATACTACAGCCCACATCTTCCCCAATGCCGCCCGGCAATTAGAGACGATACTTGCTGCACAAAGTACTACATCCAGCTTCGACTATTGGTGGCCATATCCAGCTTGGGGTGCTGGCACCTCGACGTCGACCGTGGTTCTTCCTGACACTATCGTTGCTCCGACCGCAACCGTAGTAGCTGCGCCGAGCTTGGCCTCTGCATCTGTGTCTTCCGTGGCTAGCACTACAGTTCTATCTGCGGTCAACAGCTCAGCCTTCTCCCGCACGGTGGATCCGGGTCTTGTTCAAATTACCGCACTCCCACCTGCCAACGTCAGCTCCTCTACTCGAAGCCAACAAAATTCGACATCGCGTGGCTCCTCGTTCAACATCGCTTATCTCGCTCCTCTCTTCGCAGTCTTGGGTGCTCTATTTGGTGCATTCTGTGCATGGCTTCTGATTCGCTGGCTCTCCCGCCGTCGTGAGCGACATGCTCGTGGTTCATTTTTTCAACCCGGCCCACGCTACGTGCCTCCTCCGCAAATGGCAGACGAAAGCAGGCGCGGCCTCACCCAGGATCTGAGGTCACTCAGAGAAGACAGATCGAGTCGCTCAGGCGCATCATCTGATATTTCTGCGCCTCAGACAGGGCCTTTCAATGCTAGTGGCACGACATCCAGGCCGGTCTACACGAGCCATGAGACGGCGATGCATCCTTCGAGTCTGTCTACGAATGTAGCTGCTCAAGAGCAGGACCCGTTCTTACGTCAGCCGAGGTCTACACCCAGCTCTGCTATGCATGCTGATCGCTTTCATGCGTCATTGACGTCTCCGGAGATGTTTGAAGAGGAAGATGACTATGCCGTGCCATATGATACTCTCCGCCACAAGTCCATCAGACGTGGAATACTCGAGAGGCTCAAGTTTGGGACTCTGCGACGGCCAGCGAAGGAAGGTCGTGACATATCAGATGCAGAGAAAAGTCTACCGATCCCTGAAGAGTCGCCTGTGAGGCGGGTTAGTCATAGGCAAGGCCACAAGAGGAACGACTCGGACTTCAACGTCGACGAGGTCAGGCTGCCAGCGATGCAGCGATCTGTCAGCAGTCCCGGTCCCAATCTCCTCAGATCTCCGTCGTTCGGCATGAGAGACGATTCGCCGTTGCTCCACAGTCCCGGATTTAGGATCATCGAGGAAGACCCGGAAGCCGATACGTCGTCAATACTTGAGCGGTATCTGTCTCCGTTCATACCGCATCGCCATACCGTCTCTGTGCACCAGAAGCCCTCCAAGGACTCCGTCCGGACGCATTCTCCTGCCGCCGATTCGTACACTGCAATGCCTGCGCGGAGGAGCGCTGCCGAGAAGAGAAGCAGTCCATATGGTACGCCGTCCTCGTCACCCTCAAAGCCTCCAGCATCTTCTTTAGCTCGTGTGGATTCTTCCATCCTTCCGTTGAGCCCTCCTCGAATCATGTCGCCACCGTTGGAGTCCAAGCTGTTCTTCGCTGCTATTACGCCGGATTTTGGGTCAACTCCCTCCCTTGCACTGCATTTGCCTGCGACCAGCACTAATCCGTCTGCTACGTCGATATCTTCACCAGCACCTCCGAAGAGACAGCAGAACAAGCTCCGCACCAAGAAGGATCCTCCTTTACTGCCTTATCCCTCTTCGTCCGATTCGTCACCTTATCGGAACCGTTTGAAGAAATCCTTCAGACATGGCAACGTTACGGGGGAGACTCCTCTGAGCCAGCAACTCGTCTCAGCCTCTCCGCAGTCTGTCGCTTCGCCTGCTCCCAGCACCCAGGCTGAATGGTGCAGTCCTGCCACGAGGTTCGGCGTTCGGCATTCGGCACTCGAGAAGGTGGACGAGATTCTGTCGCGCAGCTGGAGCCAGCGGGACGTGAACGTTGACTTGTACGTCGGGAGCGCGACACGATTTGGAGCTATGGTTGCGGACACATTGAAGAACGATGTCCGCGACGGCATTCCCACATCGGCCTCGGGCGCTGGGATTCAGCAAAGATTGGAAGCCTTGAAGACACAGGAACAAGCCGCTAACGATCGAGTGTGAACGAAGGCGGCGTCTGGGTTTCGTTGCGTGACAGATTTGAACGTGTTTAGCTTCCTCCGGAGTACGATATCTGTTATTTTACATTTCATGTAAGCCGAGTCCTGTATTCGACGTTCTTGGTGCGTCGAGGCATCATCCGTCACGTTTTGCCAAAAAAAAAAAGTAGTAGTGATGGATTTCGACGAAAGCCGGAGCTCAGAGACTGGTAGGGTCAGGGTAAAGCATCGTACGGGAGGACCCGGCGGCTTCCAATACGGTCGCTGTTATAACTCAAGCGGTCAATATCCAAAGTCCTACCGTTGCGGTTTGGCCGTTGATTGAGATCACCAGCTACGCCGAGAAAATTCATTTCTGCGTGGCCGCATGTAGTGGCTGTGCAGTGTCTAACATGTGAGTAAATTCATCTATTGTACCACTCTAGCTCAGCTCACTGGTCCGTTCCACAAGATCTATCCTCTATGAAAGTAAAGGCTTAGGATCTAAATGTCTTCGTGCTCCCATATGCATACTGCTGAGTCGCGGGCGACCTTGTTTATGACTATTCGTACACGAATGCTGATGTTCGCCTGTGCAAACAGTAGTGCGGAGTTGAAGTCATCTACTAGTCATTCTAGCCCCATTTTGGCGAGGACATTTTCGCTACAGCTGCAAGGAGATAAATTCGTATCAATGACAAGATCCGAGCCAAGGACTTCTAAACAGTAGCGATCTATGTCGTCGCGGACGCACTACGCGACATGCATGAACGAGGCGAAATAAGAAGCTATATCCTCGAGCTCCTCGAAGGGGGCAACCATGCCAACGTAACCATCCGGCCTTACGACGACGATCACCCCTCGGGAATCGATACCATACTTCTCGTACCCTCCACCGCCTGCTCGTCCATACATGTCCATGTCGTCCATTAAAGCCCTGCAGATGCCAATAAGCACAGTCAACTCAGGATCAAGTCACAGTTTCTGCTTACTTTGACCAATGCGACCGCAGCAATGCCGGAAGGTCGGTATATTTCAGAGATCCTTTCTTAGCGGCACTGATGCACAGGATATCAAAGACGCTGGCGATGTTCCCTTTCGAGAAGCGGTTGAGGAAAGCCTTCGGCTGCTCCAAGTCTGCGGCGAGCTTCGTCACGCGGTCGAGTTGGGATTTATCGCGAGCGTCTCCGGTGAACACGATGATCTTGAAGCGTGTGTCTGCCGGGAGAAGATCCTGAATCTCGTAGGGCCGGGCATCTGCCACTCTCACGAAGACGTGGGGTAGCATGCGCTGTCCGATGATGAGATTGCTTGCGTAGGCCTGATGCTGAGTGTGCACCACCGCCGACGGGAGATAGTGGATGCCGAGCCCGGTTTTGAATAGGCTGGTGGCCTGAAAGGCTCTGCGGAGATGAAGCAGGGTGTAAGCGATTTTGATGCGATAGTAATAAAAGAAATATTACTCTACGAATTCTTGGTGCATCACGCCATCTTGAGGTAACTCCGTCCTGGACTTGCCAGACAAAAGACCGGACCACTTTTTATCGAAGTCGATCAAGTCTTGTGCAAACTTGCGACGCTCGAACTCGTACTGCCCACGTCAGCCACGTCAGCAAAGATACACATAAATGAGAGAGCGATTCCAATGTAGCTCACAGTTTGGAGAAGAGATATGTCAGACCAGCCACGGAGGACATGTGCGAGTTTCCAAGCTGTTGGACTCATTTAAAGTTCGAACCGAAATTGCACGGAATTGCGAATTACCTAGGTTGTGAGAATCGTTCATGCTGGCATTCATGCCCTGGCCTATGATTTGTGAGATAAAGAATGGCGGAGTATAGAAACCGGGTGGAGGTGCGCTTACCACCCTTCGGAGAGTGCGTATGGCATGCATCACCGGCGATGAACACCCTCTCGTTCACCGAGAAGCGAGAGGCCACACGTTGCCCAACTGAATCATGATCAGCGACGCACAACAGAACGCACTGTAGAATAACCCACTGATATACATCGTCCACCATTGGACGTCATGCAATGTCGATATTGAATATGGATGGAATGACTTCCTGGCGACTTCAAGCAGCCTCTCCGGCCCCATATTATTTTTGTCTACTCGCCCCGTCTGGACATCCACAGCGTCCGTTTCTGCTAGTTGAATGTACAGACGCACGATGTCCCCTTCGCGCGGAATGACCAAGCACGAGCCATTATTGGAATGAATCACACACAAACTGCGTATGTCAGAGAAGTCGGTCTCGGGAATTATGTCCAGCGCGCCCCATATATAGTCTGTCGCGTTTTAATTTGAATGTGACGGATTCGGCAAGTACTTGGCTCAACGCACCAGTTTGCTCTCCCTCCATCGCAATGCCGAAGCTTTTGCGGACCCACGAGTGCGCGCCTATGAGGCAGGGTTCAACTAATCATTCCTTTTTTGGGGACCTCGTGATGTCTTACCATCTGCACCGACAACAAACTTCGCATGAACAATTTCAGTGTCAGGCTTGCCTTCAGGAACGTCTAGATGCTTGAGCACCACCTAGACAAAGATGATCAGTCCCAATAATTCAAACACCGGTTTGCATACGGGTAAGTAGGTAAGTACCTTCACCGCGTGCATACTAGGATCTTTCAGGACTGCATCGTCCTGAGACAGCTCAATGGAAGTCGGCACGACAGGTCTCTCGACTTGAATGCCCAAGGAGGTCATTGAGTCCAAGAATATCGCCTCGATCGCCCCTTGATGCAGCGTGACCTTGATCCGTGATGTTATGAGCCCATTGATTTACATGCTATTTGCGTGTTGGATCCGCTGCTCACCATGAATGGATACCGAGCACTGGGAACGTTGACGACTGGCACTCGTTTGGTGCACTGTAAAAGTGCGGTCAGCGCGAGAGACACTGATGGCAGATCGCAGCGGTACCTCGATTCCACCGTCTATGCTTGGATTATAGAATGCCTGTACAGGCGAGTTGTGAGCGAAAGCATTGTCAGATGTGCACGAATGCTTCATACACCCATATGCATCTGGTTCCCCTCACGTAACAGACGATCGGCAAGACCATAGCTCTATCATGAATCTCGTCAACTTCATGTAAGGGAAATACGTTGCAAGATGCCAAACCTGGAACACTTCGATCGTCCGGGGCTGAATGCCGTCCGCCTGGCCTGCTGCTACTTTCTTCGGCCTGTCGGGAGATCGTATAATATAAGAACGTTGGTGGTGAATACTGCGCGCAAGGTTTGCTGACCTTTGGTCTATAATCCTGACGTCCACTCCGGCCTTAGCCAGGGCGTTGGCGCACATCAGTCCAGCGGGGCCAGCACCGATGATTAGAACATCGACGTCGCTTTCCTTGGTCAGAGGGACGGGCATTGTGAGATGCAAGACGAGCTTGGGGGGGGGGGGGCTACGTTATGTCTGTTGGGCACCTAAGCATCGTCTTTAATACTCGTGCAGGTTAACGTTAGCCGATGTGCTCTATGTGCTCAAAGATGAAGTGCGTCGGTGCCGATGACGGAAACAACATTCGTTCCCTGCCGGCGTTGCAAGCGGTCGGGAGCAGAGTGAAGCGTAAGGGCTGATGCTCCTTGGGTGAATGGTGTCATTTGAATTGCTTGGGAACAAGTTAACCACTTGCAGCGACATCATCAGACGTGATCCCGGTGCTGCTAGCGCGGCGAAGTGCAAGTCGGATGTCACCATGAGATCGCGCTTCGTCCGAGGTATGAGTCTCTACTCCGCCCCGCACTGCATCGCGCTGGCGGCGAACATGCAATGTCACTAATTTAAACATCGTGACAGAATTTGATTTTCTTGAGTGTTAGCCTTGTGAAATAATTGTAATATTATATTCGGAGATTGACAGCAATTTTCCACTGTCCAGCAATCTGCGAAGAATGGATGCCTTTCCGAAGGCGTCTGCAAGGCATTGCAGACATTTCCAGGCTCATAAATTTGGCTGGACAGGCACCGGATCTTACTGAGCTTGAAAAATATGAACAGACGCCCGTGTGTCGCGCAAATTCTGGTCCGACCCCCTTCCAGTCGTAAATTTTTATTTCTAGACTCGTTTTCAGACTCAGCACGCATTTGGTTGGCTCAATCGTCTTTCACGGCAGCGATCATCTGCTTACATCAGGGTATTTCACGTTTGTCATAATCTCGTCACAATCTGCAGGCTCGTTTGCAAAGGGCGCTAAAATCTAGAAATTCGCCTCCACCGTCTCATTCAAAGTCCGGTTTATGTCTAGAAACCTTTCAAATCCTGCGGAATGGCATCCATTATTGTGAATGAATCTTGACTGTGCATTACAGATGTGATCAACGTGAAATTACGATGAGTGCCAGATGCTTCTCACGTGCTGGGTAGAATCTGGAATGCCCAATATGGTCAGACGATTGCCATATATGGTAACATAATTTCCCAACGGGAACATCTTGAAGACCTCATGGGCTGCATGTGGATGTAATCAACACCATTTCACAATGCTGACACCTGTTAAAATGCGTACGTTGTGGAACAATATGGACTGTTAAGACGATGTGTCCGAGTTATGGGCTCGTCTCCCCTAGTGAACTGTGACACTATGCGCGGTTTTATGATATTATCGCAGGCCTTTGCAAAATGTTTGCAGTGTGATCACTCTTTCAGATCGATTAATGCCGCGGAAAGCCAGCGTTTTCCGCAAGCTCCATTACCAACGCATCGCGATTATGTATAAGGGGACGAGTCAGTTCGGGGGAGGAGTCAGTTCGGGGGGACGAGTCAGTTGGGGCCGCACGTCATCCCTTGCTCGATAGCAAGATTCACCAATGCGGCATGCCTGTCGCTAAAAATGTTGCAGGGTGGAAAAGATCTATTTAAAGTAGTACCGTCTTCCTAAGCTGCTGTTGTATAAGTAAGCATATTAGTCGAATTCTGTTTCGTCAGAAGTTCGCCGGCATCCCCGTATGTATCATCACAGCAAAGAAAGGTAGTACCAGTTCCTACTGGCAGTGTGTTGTCGTTGACGCCGGTTATTGGGCGATAACGGGGGGTTAACCCGGGTAAGGCGTTTGATTCCAAATAACAAATTTGGCTGTTACAGTTTGAACATAAACGAAGGACCCTTAAATTGAATTGGCTCTTTTCGCTTCCACCGTTCCACGACGGCCTCGCCTGATTCCAGCGCTCTTCTCTATCTAGTGGAGATTCAAGGACGAGGACCTCCTCACATCACTGTTTTCCGTGGTGCATAGATGACAATTACTACGCTACCTCTTACATCGCAGCTGATGTGTCCTTACTCCTCCCGTGATTCCCATCATCTTGTTCCACCACATCCTTGTTTTCATATCCAACTCCCACAGCCTTTCGTCCTCCTTCATAAACATCTCATCTAAAGGCCGAGATAGAATTGTCTTATCAGAATTGTGGAGAGTCTGACGTCCTGAGCTTCGAGATACACAGGTTGAACAGCGTTATTTCCCCTCCTGGCGGCATCACCATGTCCACGATCACATTTTGATCCGCGCAGTAATCGGTGAAAGTGTACGACGCCGTCAACGGTAATTGTGTTCGCTTGATCTTTTTGTTGACCATTCTGACTCAGGCTGATTGTTGCAAAGACACGTTCATTTGAAATGATTTCAACAAGAGTTCGATAAGTATGGCAACTTCCTCTAACCACATTGACTGTTGACGTACGCGGTCTTGATAGTTTGACGAGAATGTATGCAGGAGAATTTTGCAGCCATATAGGAGATGGGAACTCGGGCAAGGAAAGACTCTCGTGTCGCACTTCACATCTAACTGGCTTGTACGTAAATTCTGGACAGCCACATCCGATTTTAATATCTCACTCACGCCCTTCCCACAGACATCTACGTCCCACCGTCATTCGTTGAAGGAAACCCCACTCACCTGGTCGCCAGGCGTATGTAGCCAAAACTGATATGCATATAGTCATAGATATTGATCAAATGCTATCCCCGTTCATTCTGCGCGTTCCTTTGAGCAACCAGGTCGGCTGCACACGCGCAGCACTTCTCGAGTGACCTGGAGGATTCTATACGGCGTGTGGACCATTGTTTCGCAGCGTGTTTATCCGGATCAAAACCTTCATTTCACAGCGAAGAAGTTGTTATTTATTGCTGGGATTGCGTTCACTCTCTTCAATGTCCGTGTAGGGCTAGCATGAGCGCAATGGCTCACCAGCTGTCTCATGGAAATCGCCAACTTCCCTGCTGCGCGGCTCGGTTCACCACGGATCGCCATCTCCTATGCGTGCCCTGGAGATAAATGTTACTGGCATCACTCGCGAGGCGAAGATCGTGACTTCAAGCCCTTGGATTTACGACAACGGCTCGAGTACTGTAGTTACTTGCGCCGGACGAATACATCATTTCAGCTTAGGGCCACCTCGTTGCAAGCTTTTGCTTCAGCCTGTTCTATGAACCAATGGAACAATTCTGGGTCAAGCAAGACTACAGGCCTGGACATACACTCGAACTCGGGAACCGTTAAATATGCCTTTTTAAGCGCATATTCGTCTACTTTAAGTGTTATTTTAGAAAGTGTAAAGTCATCAGTAATTGAACCGACTGCTCCACACCCTCTTCAACTAGCGTCCATCACCTTGCGCTCTTCATCCCTTTCACGACGATCTATCTATTTGCATGGTTCATCGACCGTCTGATTCGCGCTTACTCTCCAATCTATTGTCGAACGAGAAGGACTATTCTATCCACCTAATCCACCTGCTCAAACATTCGCAACTTTCTCTTGCATCATTCTCAGCTTATGCATCGGCGTCGGCGCCTCCGCTGTCCCATGTCATCGTAGCAGTTGCGGGCGTACTCGCGGGTGCTGACGATGCACTGCGCAAGTACGTCTCGTCTCTGGAGGGTTGGCAGGGGCAACTGAAGGCGCTGAAGAACCTCGAAGATGAAGTCGGGAACGTGATGCGTGACCGTGAAATCCTGTAAGTCTTTCAACTTCTGGCAGGGTGCTCCGATCTGCAGGACGCACAACTCCGTCGGAAATGACGCATAGATGTGGAGACATGCGAACATGACGCTATGTATCCATCCACCCGTATACGCGGTACTCGTGACGTAATGTACGGAAGGGATGGAGCTGCGTATTATTGGTTGCCCGATGATGCCGTATGGCTTTCATGCCCTCCAGCAGTGGCTCAATTTTTGTCTTTTCTCTACCCAGTGTTAACCGGCTCATCAAGGCTTCCAAGCAGACGAAGCCGATGCGGGACTCTGTGCTTTCAACGTCCGGCTCCGCGTCCTCGCTGAACTTTGTCAAACCCGAGGTTACTATGGGTCCGAAGATGAATGCAGCACAGACAGAGCTGCAGGCATGCGAAGCACACCTTGCCCAGAAGGAGCATGAGCTCGAGCATTTGCGAGTCACCGCAATATGCTCCGGGCTCCAGGCACGTTGCAAGGCAATGGTGGAATGTGGATGGGCCTGGGGCGAGATGGGAAAGGAGGGTCTCAGGGCATTGGATGGTATGAGGGCGCCCAACGGAAACGGTGCGTCGTCGTTAGCGTCCAGCGAGGTTTCATCACGCCTGAACTCCGAGTCTCTGGTTCTCAGGAAATGCACTCCACGTTCTACCACCGACCCACTCAAGTCCTGCACAGAATTCTGACACTGGACACGCCCCATCTGACTTCTCTTCCCTTGCGCCATCCCAGAGCGCGTCTCAAATCGGGCTACCTCCCATTCCGGTCGCTCACACCGAACCTGATTCCTCCTGGCACGACCAGCCACCGACGCCGCCCAAACCGTATGCGCTGCAGATCCCCGCAGCACACTTGATACCCGACATGCCGAATGGCATGCCGACGTCTCGTTCGCCGATCCCAGAGGTCGAGGAGGAAGAAGAGGAAGGCGGCGGGAGCAGTGAGTCTGAGGAGGATTTAGGTCCAGTCGAGGTGCACGAGAACGCACGGTTTGCGAAGAAAAGGAAGGGTAGAATGACATCTATGATACCCGAACCACGCTCCGCGCTTGAGCCTCATGCCATGCGGGACTCTGTGGACAGCGCGAGACACGTACACTTCCCTGCGCCAGCGCCGAGCTACGACTCACCCTCGAGCAACAAAAAGGAGCGCACTCGGAGCGGATCGTCCTTTTTCGGAAGTATCGCGTCGCTATTTCACCACCGAGACCGAGACCGAGACCGAAGCGGCGCGTCTGTCGACGAGCACGATTCTCCAGTTTCGAGCAGACCGGCTTCGCGTTGGAGCACGCGCACGGACAAGTACCTCAGCAAAGCCATGCGAGGAGGTGACAGCTCGGACGAGGAAGGCGACGAGGCGCATGTACAGCAGTACTATACTTGGTCACCGACGTACGAGGCCCCGCAGGCACCCCGATCTGCCCTTACAGCCTCCACGTCTGAGATGGGCATCCGCGCGACACAGCAGTCAAAGAATAAGTCCACGAAGCGCAAGCCTGTTCGGAATACTGTTGCGGACGCAGACCGAGGCTGGGTGAGCGATGGCGCGGCGACGTTCGGCGCGAGTGCGAACGTGAGGCGTACTGCATCGGTGACGAGGAAGCCTGAGTCCGGAAAGGCGGCACAGCCGAAGATGAATGGCGATGCAAATCCAGCTGCCTTGGGTCGGAGCGATTCAGTTTCAGCTAGGACTAGAAAGCCTTCGCTGCCGGGAACTACGCAGGTAATCCTCGGCGATGCCTCTGTCACGGTGTCGCGGAGCTCGTCATTGTCGAAGTCTCAATTGAGCACGGCGTCAGCTCCTGCACGCGGCCATGCACGCAATCCGCCGCTGGAGCAGCATCAACAAGGTCTGAATCGCGCGCGGACTACTTCTGCCCACACACCCAACCCAACATCGCAGCAGGCTAAGGATCATCGGCGTTTCAGCTCAGTGTCCACTGTTCACCGCTCGGGTCTGACGCGGAACAACGACGGCCCAAGTCTTATGAGCATCGTCGAAGGCGTTGCGAAGCAGAACAAGGACGCGTGGGCGAAGCAGGATCCCAACCGCATGCTCATGCCTGTGAAAGCTCCGCCGCCGATACACATTAGCCAGGACTATAATCAACCTCAACAGCCGGCAGCCAATGTCAGTGTGCCTCGGGATGCTGGGCTGTCCAGAAATAACTCGATAAGCAAGAGCCCTGCGGCTGCCTCGCCGCTGGAGACGCTTTCAGATGTTCCCGCGTCCGCATCTGCGCCGTCGCTGCCCGTGTCAGCGAACAAGCCACCGGAGAAGATGCCACTGCGCTCGGCGCTCAGGAACAGTCGGACACCGTCACCCAACCCTCCGTCAACATCCGCTGGTCCATCTCTCAGTGCCGCACCGGACACTGCAGTGCCGGTTACGAATGGGTCAAAGTTGCGCAATGGATCGCGTAGCCTGCTCGCGCCCTCGCCCGCAGAGGATGATGCGACGTCCATATCATCGTATGAGACAATCAACGAGGTATTCTACGACGCGGAGTCCGATCCGCAACCTGAGCCTGAACTCGATCCTTCCCTTGCGCCTCCTACACCCCCTCCCAGCGACACAAAGCCGGAGCCCGCAAAGGGCGGCGACCTCTCTCGGTCTGTAAGCTCGAGCAGTACGACAGGCACCGGACCCATACGTAGGAAGAGCGTGCGGATGTCGTTGCCGCCGACGTTCTCCACCACTCCGCCCGTGTTCGACGACGACGATGATGATGCTGAAACGACCAGAGGACGCCACCATCCCTGGCCATTGAACGGCGATGCGTCGTCTGGCCGTCAAGGCGGGTGGTCGTCCAGAGTTCAAGAGCGGGATTTGTGGCAAGATTCCAGCGATGACGATGAGGAATATTTAAGAGCGAAGAGACTACTCAGTCGCATGTCCAAGATATGAGTTCTCACAGGAGAACTGTCCTTTGCCCGTCAGTTGCCATTCGCATAAACCCTTCACTTGCGAAGTAAAGGCAGTTTTTGGTTCATACATTCTTACTTATGTACTATTACGCGTTCGTCATATACTTTGCCCGGTATCGTACTGTACCCATACGTATTAGTAGTTTATCATTGTCCTAGTAATTCGGTTCATATACCTTGTTTGTTCTATTTCATCGTACAACGTATATACACGTACAGCCAGACATGCATTTGATATCATCTACGCTTGGCGTGACTTGCGAACCTTCATCGGCGTGCGATAGAAGGTGAACAAGGAAAAAGTGCTGGTGAGTACATCAGTGACTTCGCGCATCTGGATTAACCCCACTGAGAACAATATCAAAACAGAACATCAGGTTCTCAAACCGTATCAGTCATTGTACCGTCTGGGAGTTTCAGTCCAGAATCACTGCGAACGGTAGTACGTGTCACGTTTATGGTGAGTGGACGCATGGAGTGCGTTGTATCATCAAGACCACGATGAAGTGGGCCACGGAACACCGTGTTCTGCTGGTCTTCTGGTGAATGGTGATCAGCTGTGTACGCCCAGCCTAGGCCGACGCGGACGTTGATAAGCATGAATGCGATTCCCGCAATGAACGGCAGTGTTTCGACGGCCGTAAACTGTAGGTTGGATCGGGATTGATATGCCACAAAAAAGAAAAAGTTCCAGGCGCTGCAGAAAATGTCGTACGTTGCGATTGGATGAGCGGTAAAAGGAAGATTTGCTTACGTATAGAGGAATGCGCTTTCCACCATGATTGCAGCAGCATTCTGCACATGGATGGGTGAATTAACTGTCAATACAATGTCTGGTTTCATCATATTTGCAACTAACCATCAGATTTGTTCCAGAATAGTGGGAAGCCACTCTATTCACTCTCCAAATTTTCCACGCAATCATACCTGATAATGGATCTTAATTCAGTGTCGGAACGCACAGGCAATCGGCTTACAAGTTGCATAAATGTTGGTGCTACAACGTGAGTCAGACGACAATTGTGAGCTCGCATGCCATTGAAACTTACATCATGCTGAACACACAGTTGCATGTAATCCACCGCCCTGCTGCTGTTGCGAATATATTTTCGCCAAGATGAAACTGGGACAGCTGGTAGGTTACCCCGATTCCGCACACTGCTTGGACATGCAGATGAGCTGTTGTGTTACAGCCGTTGCAAATTGGGTTATACACGGACCTGTCAAGCCAAGCAGCGTACATATAGACGGAATAATGATATACTTGTTGTAAGCCCACACGATCCATAGGCGGTAAATCTCCAATAACGGAGACTTGTCAGTGCAGTTCGCATACCTCTATCAGTCCTAAATAACTTACGATCATCGCGTCCCCAAGGACGACAGCAGCCACCATAGCACCAGTTTGTATGACCTCTGTCGGTTGAGACAAGTTTCCATAGAAAGCTAGAGGCTGTGCACCTCCTTCAAAGTCGACGAAGGCTTTGAAAAGGCGAGTTACGGCAATGACCCAATGCTTCATAACACGTTTATATCGTCAGCATTGCTATGACGGCGAGGATGAAAGATTCTCACATACCAGAGTGTTCGACATCAAAAGAAGCACTCCTGCGACAAACATCGGCTGCGTGTATAACGGATTGCAAGTGGCTTTCAGTCTGCGCGGCAGGGCATTACTTGACTGTCGATGACGTTGTACAAGTAGCCAGAATAAAAGGACCGTGAGCACAAGGAATATGCCATAGAGAAGACTTTCTAAGCAGATTGTAGCCAGATTTGCCGATATAAGAGATACGCTGGCCATGTTTTAGCAAGTGGCTCTCTGGCGACATCTCAAGGGAACGAAACTCGCCTGTTTATGTATCTTATTGTCCTGGATGATCATCATAGGTGACAATCCGGAAGATTGGAAGACTGCCAGTCCAAGCAGCGCCATAGATCGCCGTGACATTGCAACCACGGTACTGCATTCAGTGTTAGCCGCGGCGGTACTAGTCTAAGCATAGCAATTATTGTTCTTCGGATCTAAAGTGCCACTTCGCGAACAAATGTGGTCAATCGATTCTTCCAAGCCACCGCCTGAGACACAACGTTGACCGGATCGATCTGTCGCAAGCCCATAGCATACGGAAATTTATCCCATATTCTGGCAGATCGCAGGCGTGCACACAAGCCGGGACAAAGCGCCAAAGCAAAACAGATGCGAGCGCGTGCACGGCCTTGCGCGTCAAAGAAATCTCGACAAAGTCGAGAAGCCTGAAGTAGTTCAAGTCCATTCCACCAATGACACTGACGTGATTCTATTCAAAGAAGCTTCAGACTGACTGACGTGATTCTATTCAAAGACTGCTGAAGTCGGACATACTAGACGAGCTGGTGGCTGCGCGTCGTCACTTCCACTTGGCAGTGGTCCGCTTGCATTCGCCAGAGCCCGATACGCAAAGAAAGATACAGAAAACGGGACCTCGCAGACGCACCACCTTCTCCGGGGACGTGAGGCACCATGGTAGTGTGAACATTTGTTGCAGCCGGTAGGCGCTTGCTCTCGAGGTTTTGTCTTTCACAGGCATCGTGGGACGGAAATTCAAGAGTACGTAACGCTGAATGATCGACGGATATGAGCGGCATATGCAGTTTTCCGCATAGGTCAAACCGGGGAAGGAGGGAGGCTATGCGGGTCCGAAGAAACAGCCTACGATCGTGTGGTCCAGTAAAAATATATGCAGAGCATCACTGCCTTGAAGGTGGTCTTGCCCGTCTTGCATTTTGTCTTCGAGTATGTCATGAATTCCGACGTCTGGATGTATAAAATAACGAGATTGTCCGTTCAGAGGTGTCCTGATGCAGATAAAGGGATTACGCCGCCGCTACCGTCGTCAGCACGAGCATTCCATGTCATCCACGTCTAACACTGCTTCCGTGGTGGCTCCCAGCTCCGCGAAGAACAACTATCATGAGTGATTAGTGGCAACGGTTAAAGGTGCTACTTTGAATGTGCTGCCGAAACCAGCTGGCACAACTTACTTGTGCTCATGAACCTGCCAAAACTCGGAATCATTCACAGCCGCAGAGAAATACCGAAGCGGTCATTGGCCAGCTCGACTTTGCTTGAACGATACAACTAGCCGTCTGGCCGGAATTTTGGAAGCCATTATTTTGAAATGACCGTGAAGAATCTTGACACGAACGACAGAGGCAGTAAAATATGATGGAATAGAATAGGCAGATAAACTTTGACGATCTAGTATACCATGTTCATAGTTGCTCGGAAATTCATGCTGACTCTGGAGTTCCTCGACAACTAGTCGAGAACATCGTGTGTCCCTTTCGATCTGTGAAAAACCGAGACCTGTAAATACAGACCCCTCATGAAGGTACTCATTGCGACCAATGAGAACCCACACTTGATCCGAACTTGAGACAACAATTCAGAGGATCGCGGTAATTTCCGCCTCCGTTCACGATATGGCTGCTCGCGCCAATTTGCTGATGTGCTTTACTCGACATTCAGAATAATTTCTTGAGCCAGACTGGCCTCGTAAGATAGCATTTCATCCGTTCAGTTGAGACGATGAGAGAAAACACAGCGGAGTTTTAACCTGCCCTTTTTCGGATTCCATTATGTAATCAAAATATCGGGCGCTTAGTGTGTGGCCGAGGAGGGTAGACCCCCAACTTGCGCGCCAGTGTGAGCCACACACAGCTTGTCTTCTCCCTTCTACCTCTCGAGAAAACTGCGCGAAGATGTCCGAAGCTGAGCAGCACACATCCACACAGGAGGTTGAGCCCAAAGCGGAAGAGGCCAACGCGCCGATCAACATCAAGGTAAGCGCGTTTCAAACACCATTCGCGTCCTGGCGAGCCCTCGAGGATTGACCTGCGGCTCGCCTGCGCGGATGGATAGGTTACAACACAAACCGGAGAGGAAGTGTTCTTCAAGATCAAGAGAAATACGAAGTTGAGCAAGCTCCAAGGAGCTTATGCTGCGAAAGTGGGCAAGGACGTGAGCAGTATTCGGTGAGTCTCATCTTTGACGCCCCTCCTGGAGGACTTGCGCGGAACATGGACAGAGCATATACGTCCGGAACCTGCATCAATCCGCGCTTACGATGCGACTTCTTGACTTCTATTGGTATGATAATATTTATTTACCGCGCCCCATAGGTTCCTCTACGATGGGAACAGAATAAACGACGATGACACACCGGCATCGCTGGACATGGAAGATAACGGTGAGCCACGATGAGGTAACGCATGATTTAAGCTGACGATTCTCCCGCTAGATTCCATTGATGTCATGGTAGAGCGTACGCGACACTTATACTCCGATTCTAATGTGGCCTGTGATACTAACATGTTTTCATGGACGCAGAGGTCGGAGGTTCAGCGTGATGCTGCGTCTCAATGCCAATTTTCGGTCGTTCTTCTTTCTGCTTGTAGTACGAAGCCTTTTTCTCCTGTGCTCCTGTCTTCCGTTTCGTGCATGATTATGTGTCAAATGTAGCTTTTTCGCCCTCACGAAGTCGACATTGGCACGTCTACTGAGAACACTGCAGTACATGCGAACGAATCTCAACGTCGAGGCCACAGAGAACGGACTCTACGCGAGAAATGCGGCCAGCAGCATTAAAGCAGCTCCCGTTAGTTTCTCCGGCGACATTGCCGAACCAGAGCTCGCTGAAGAGGTCGGGCGAGCCGACGCCGTGCCTAAGGGGTTTCGATCGTGACACGATTGCCGCTCTGATGTAGACACGATACGCACCACTGGTGGATCCGTTCGCGGCGGCCGTTGAAGTAGTTGACCCGTCGGAGGCTGCAGTGGTGAGCGGCGTGCCAGAACCCGATAATGACGTCGTGCTGACTCGGCCCGTTGCAGTTGGTGCATAGGACAGCGACACGCTATTGACCGCGAAGCCGTTCGCGAGGCATTGCTCGTAGACCTCTGCGAAGGTTTTAGCCGTGGCTCGAGTAATGTCTCTGAGGATACGCTCACCATTTATGCTTTCCTGCCACTCTGTTTCCACCACAGATGCACTGCAGTTGCCCGTGTCGGGAATCAAGGGCAACATGCAGTCCATGCAGGAGGCGGCGGAAGTGAAGTAGCTGTCCACGCAGGCGCAAGACATGTCCATGCACTGCGACATCAATGTAAGTCGTAAGTTACGAACAGTGAGGTGTCTTCTGCGAATGAACCCACGTTATCGGATGCTGTCACATACGGCGTGCATGTACTGTTGCATTGCTAAAGGAAAGTCCATCAGCGCTAGATGCGAAATCCATTGAGGGTAGTCACCAATACCTGCGGTGGCATGTCGTCGAAACCACTCAGACAATCGTCGACATCATCTCGCGAATATAAATGAATGCCCGCGCATGCTACAAGCATCAAAGCCAGGACATGAGCAGCACGCAGTCATGTTCAACGTATTGACTGACCGGTAATGAAGATAAGGAGTGACAAAGAGGAGTACATCCTGCTTGAGGTGTGTGTTCGAAACTGTGCCGTTCCAGAGTGTCAGCTCTGCTTATGACTTCGCCAGTGCAGGCGTCAATCTGCCGTCTAGCATGCGGTACCGATCACTCAGGCCCAGCCACTCTCGGCGCGGAGTCACTCAGGCCTAAAATAGACTGGTCCTTGTTGGTTGATCTGCCCTGGGAGGGAGACTTGTCGAACGGCTCAGCGCAATGAGGACGCACTTAGTGGCCATCAGATCGTATCGACAACCTCGGCGCATTAAATGCTCGATCGTACACTGCTGCACGATGCACATACTCCTCGTCGGTACAAGCGTTCCTTGCCTGGCAAATAGACGACAATCAGTTTGGCATCGGGACCGTTGGCTGCCGTGGTTACGATAAAAGCGGGCATTATTGCCCGTCACTGTCATGATTGAATCAATGCCCAGGCGGTGCCTGTCATGCTCAGGCTGATTGACAACAACCTGGGACAACGTATGATAGCATGTCTGAATTCGAGCAACGAGCAATAAAAGTTTCCCTGATTTGACCTCTCAGATTTCATTATCTGAGAAACTCGCGAGCCATCTTTTTAGTTGAGATATGTAGTCAGCCTTGGTACAAAGAAGTTTTTGGTGTGTTTGAAAGCATTAAGATGATCCTAGTCGACACAGTGCGCGCCAACAGCAGCGCCACTGATGCGAAAATTATAAACCTTCCAAATGCGGAAGCTGTGGTCCTTGCGTTCCAGCGTCTATTCCGGCCCGCCTGCTTCACAGCTCCCACAAAGTCCTGGTCCGTACCAAGTATATAGCAAGGATTGGAAACCTCGCTGACCTGCACTGATGTAAGTACCCAAAAGCATGCCTGCATTGTGAAGAATCATCTGGGAAGGGATGATTCTGCTCGCTGTGCTCCGGGCCGCTGGATGCCATGAGTACCGTGTTGCGTGTGTTACCGATGTATTTGCTGATTTACCATCGCTTGTAGAACCTTGTAGGCAAGGATGCATCCCGCCTACGTGAGACACGCTTTCATAGCATGAATTCCTCAGCACGCCCGAGAATGTCTTCTGGCGAGCCGATGCAGCTAGCTGTTCCTCTTCATGTCAAGTATATACAGTCGCTAGGAGAGGTTCGTGCTTTGTCGCGTGATCCGCATACCTTTCGTTAATCTGTTACCGAATAAAGATGACCTGACATACCACCTCACTGATCATCTGCGCATGAATGCAATATACTGGGGCCTCACAGCGCTATGTGTGATGAAGCACAAGGACGCGCTTGATCGCGAAGAAATGATCGACTTTGTAATGAGTTGCTGGGACGACCAAGCAGGTTCGGCATTTCTTCTGTTTTGTGACAAATGCCCTGCTGGGGCGTCGTTTGCAGCTATTCATCGTCACTTTCGTAGGAGCATTTGGCGCGCATCCCGATCACGATGCGCATATCCTTTCGACATTGAGCGCAATACAGATCCTGGCTACCCAAGGCGCGCTAGATAGGATAGATGTGCCTCGCGTCGTCAAATGTGGGTCTTTTTTTAAAACCGCCTGATGAACCTCACCTTGCTCATCCACTCGGAAGTCATCATGTCCCTCCAGCAGCCATCTGGCGTTTTCGCGGGTGACTCGTTCGGCGAGATCGATACGAGGTTCCTGTACTGTGCTGTCAATGCCCTGTCCCTCCTAGGAAAGCTCGACGAGCTCGACGTGGAGAAGACCGTCGGGTATATTCAGAAATGCAAGAACTTCGACGGGGGCTTCGGCGGGTGCGTCGGTGCCGAGAGCCACGCTGCACAAGGTGGTAAGCCATCTTCGTATATTCGTCGCATATTGTCTGAGACGGCCTGTCTGCTGCGTCAATTAGTCTTTGTGTGTACAGCTGCGCTGGCGATTCTGGACGGGCTGGATGTGATTGACCATGAGACGCTTGCTTGGTGGCTAGCCGAGCGGCAGCTGCCTAACGGCGGTCTCAATGGTCGGCCTGAGAAGCTCGAGGATGTGAGCACATTGTGACATTTGTGGCTCACGGAAGTTCCAAACGTTCACGTTCCGCTTCAGGTGTGCTACAGTTTCTGGGCGGTCTCGTCGATGTCCATACTCAACAAGCTCACGTGGATCGACGCGGATAAGCTGACGCCGTTCATCCGCTCTGCTCAGGTTTGTACCAGTGCACGAGTCTGCGTTGCGAGTGCTCACACTCGTTGCAGGATTTGGAGAATGGCGGAATAGCAGACAGACCGGGAGACCAGCCGGACGTGTTCCACACGCATTTTGGCGTTGCAGGTGTGCATCTTCTGGTTTCCCTCATGGTGCGGCTAAACATGTGGGCTCTCAATTTGCAGGTCTGTCGCTCCTTGGATATCCAGAACTGGAAGGCCTCGATCCCGTGTATTGCATGCCTGCGAGTCTGATCGAGAGTATGGGGCTAAAGAAGGGTTGAAAAGCTCTGCCGAGAAAAGGAGCATGAATAGACATAACCCCCAAAGTAAAGAAGTCTACACATCACTCATGATCACACTCATAGCAATGGTTGTTTTACTCGTGCATCACTGTGCAATAGATATGTCGCTGAACGACACAGCGCGGCGTTTTCGAAGTGCAAAGGATATTCCCACTCGTAGCGTATGCCCACAATGTCTAGATCCATTAAAGAGGAACTGACGCTCCGGGAGAGAATTGAAAGTTTGCGTGTGCGAGGGAGGGCGAGTCTGGGAAGACGCTCCATGAAACACCTCAAACTGAGCACTGATAGTTGATGGAGTCATATATAGCAAGAAAATGGCATGTTTGTAGGCTGTCAGTACAATAAATATGATCAGATCAACACACGAGCCTCCTGACAGCCGAAGAAGGATCGACCACCAATATGCACTATTACAAGGTCGGGCAACGAGGGACAAACCCGTCATGTGTTCGTTCTTGCTGAGGAACGTAATCTCGTCCTTCTGGGGGCCTGGAAAGCGCGGCGGGCATCCATCAGTGTGAAGTCCACGCCGCAAGGATTTCGAATGATAGTGGGACTGGATAGGTTTCATCCTTCACTCTTGCAAGTGAAAGAGATCGTGAACGAGTTCGACTCGATACAGAGGATGCCGACGTACCTTGGAGTATGCAGTGTGGAGTAGCGCCGTCGTCGTGAAGGATGATATTCGTTTGAAGTACGACATCGGTGGTAGCGCGTTCACGGATATGGGTCATACGCCAGCGAAATCACTGTGTGGTCTCGACATCTCACCATTTTTATGCTCATACAGCGTACCCGATCAGGTTTACGCGCTTCCAGATTTCATCAGAGATCGAGTCAACCATAATTCCATCTGCTGATATCCAGAGATCGACAGAATGATCGAGCCTCGTTTGAAGTTTGGTTCGATTCCTGCAGAGATGATCATGGACTGTGGCATGGACGGCAGGGGGCCCATTGGATCTGTCACCTCAGTGGATCGAGATGACGCTCCTAGTGGAGTGCGAAGGCGGGACCGTCGAGTTTTGCAATCAGGTGCTGCCGCGTATCTGGCATGCTATCTAGGTGTGCTTGAAGAAAGCAGAGCATAGAAGGAGAAGACGTACAAGTCTCATGAGGGGAAGGGAGAGATTTGGTTGTCTGCGTGAGGAGTTTGCTTGGCCATCCGATGTGAGATGCTCATGTCGCCGGCGCAGGTACAGGTACCAATTTGAGGACCCTAATGACAGAATGAGAGGGCGTAGTCCGACGTTGACTGTCACCGTGCTGACATCTGGCAAAGTATGAATTACCGTTGCGACCGAGATCTGAATTCGGCCTGTGGCTTCGCCGTTTGCTCATGGTACCGAGGGCTGGACGTCCCGTTAGCGACATATCGTCAGGGCTCTCTGAAATTTAAGATGACGCGTCATCGCACGTTCCTCTGTTGATAACGAGTATTGTTATTTGTAAAGATTGCATTCAGTTATCAACAACAGTATGGACCTGAACCTTCCCGAAAAGGGCTGAGAATGCATTGAGCGACCACTGATCATTGAGCCGCTGTTTTGCACATTTTACCACTATACGCACGCTGGATTGCATGGTAATTTGAGTAAAGTGATATGCTAAGAAGGAGAGACATCGATCGTTGGGTCAGCACACGTTCCCGAGCTGACCACGTTGTAAAGTGCTCACCAGGTTTGTTGTAGAAGCGACATGGTGACGTTTGAGGACAACATGAAAGGTATAATACATTTCACTCAATAGTGTTATCTGTGTCAACGACCGGCGATGGCCTTGACGGAGGGAAGTTCTCTAATGGCTCTCTGTGAAGCGGTGTTTCAGCGAAGAACCAGCGTGAGCCGTCGACCGACATACGTCCTGATATCCCACACGTCCTCGCTGCTTTTAGCAAGCCGCCGATGTGCCCACCACTCGGCGCGCCGCCTAATCCACGCATCTCGCTTATCTTCAGGATGCGATGACTTGAGACTCATGCAAAACTTGAACTCGTCCATCTTGGCAGCACATACGGACATGTGTCCGAAGCGGTAGAGCGACTTGAGTTGAGCCTTCATGTCTAAGCACGGTATCGAATGCCATGTTATGTGGCGTTCAAGGAAAGGTCACTCACTATGGCAGAGAAGATAATCGTCGAACAGCTTCATGCATCCTGGGATGTCGTCTGCTGTCGGGTGAAGAGCTCGTAGGTAGTCTTCTTCCTGCTTCACCGCAGTCTCAAAGTCGATGTTGGACATGATAATTTGTGTTGAAAGCGGTGATGCCAGCGGGTCGAACCCTCGACTTGCGGGCGGAACGACAAACGGGATCGACGCTGGGGACACGCGGAGAAACCGGCGCATGCCACGTGTCCCGATCAATCTGGCCATAGAAGCGCCAGCGCACCCACGTACGTGAAGTGGCCACAAGTTGGTCTTATAGCTAGACTGCGCAAAGTGATGTCTCTCACATGAATAAAAACCAGATGTTTCACTTTCCTCTTTTTTTTTTATATTCCAGACATGAGCGTCAGCCGTCTCCCAGCGGAAACATTTTAGTGTCGATCTCAGATTCGGTCCCGGCGGTGAGGTGGCATCTGAGATCTGGCCGCGATCTCACAGATTAGGAACGGGCGCCTGTCTCACCGGGCGAATTGCGCAGTGCGCAGCTCGCGCAGCGGCAATCCACCACACCGCAGCCGCTAAATAGCGGAAAAGTCAGCCTCAACACCTATGTTTTTCTGTTCTTTCTTGCGCCATTGATAGGTCTGTGTTTGACGCCATCCCTGTCTCGCCCTTGCGCACAGTCACGTCCGATATTGCGTCCACTGGTCTGGATTCAACTGAAACTAGGTACAGTTGTGCCACCTTTCAATCCCGACTTGTCGTTGAGAGCCCTGCCAGCCCCCGTAGCCGGGGCACACTTCTATCTCTTCAAGCCTTCAGCACATTCATCTATTTCCATTTATTCGTCCGCTACTAGCCATTACCGCCTCCATAGAGCCCCGCATACTACGTCATTACCGAACACATCACTAAACATGCAGCTACCTGCATTCCTAGCACCTCTGCGATCATGCAAACTAAATCGAACAACAAGATCGCTCATTCTCCTCGTCTGCGCCTTCGTACGTCCCCTTCGTTGCAACATCCCCCCTAAAAGCCAACTGACCAGGTCCTCGCCGCAGACCGGAGTGTACACTATCTTCACCTACTCCTACACACACTATAGTGGCTCCAGCTTCCTATCTGACCTCAAGTCGCAATTCGTCTCTTCCAATGCCACACGCAAGCTCGCCCCGCCCATCCCGTCAGAGGTCTCCAACGCGGACCCTGCACTCGTCCTCGGCGAGAGCCACTCCCCCGACTCTGGATTCAACTATGAGTTCAACAACGGCACTCATCGCGCGAACGCCACCCTGCTCATGCTCGTGCGGAACAGTGAGCTCGAGAAGGCAATGCAGAGCGTGAGGGAGCTTGAGGAAAAGTTCAACCGCCAATTCGGGTACCCTTGGCTTTTCTTGAATAACGTGCCTTTCTCCAAGGAGTTTAAAGAGTGCGTGGCTGCGGACTGCGCTGCTCTCATCTTCAGTTCAAATGCAGACGGATGGGTTAACCGATGACTTTGTGTCGCACAGGGAAATGAGCAAGGTTGTGTCGGGACCGGCAACGTTTGCGATGATCCCGCCACATCACTGGTATCAGCCGGACTGGATAGACGAGGATAAGGCGACGAAGAGCCGGGACAAAATGGTTGAGGAAAACATTATCTACGGAGGTGAGCGGACACAACCTTCGCCACATGTGTGGTATGTTCACTCTTTTATTTTTACAGGCAGCGTATCGTGAGTACGCATGAGGTTCTAGCACGTAAGCACTGAGCGAATGACGAAATTGACTCAGGTACCGCAACATGTGCCGCTTCAACTCTGGCGTGAGTAATTGCCCAAATTCGCTCGTGCTCCGCAGCACGCTAATGGAATATTCAGTTCTTCTATCGGCATCCACTGCTGCAGCAGTACAAGTGGTATTGGCGGGTCGAGTACGCATGCGGCCAGGTCCTCTTGTTTGCGCCATTGTTGATTAGGATCTTGCGTACAGGCCGGACGTGCATTTCCACTGCGATGTCGATGAGGATCCGTTCCTGTACATGGAGGAACATAACAAAGTCTATGGTCAGTATCTCAGAACTGCAATATTTCACGCATACAGCTTACATACGTGGAAGGCTTTACCATTACATTATTGGAGTTCGAGAAGACGATAGCTACGCTTTGGCCTACCGTCAAGGGTCAGTCCCTCTACCGATTCTCCTTCATCCTTAACTGATTGAACGTGCTTCCGCACTCACATAGAGTTCATGGCGGAAAACCCGCAGTACGTCGCGGAAGAAAACTCGATGGGATACCTCTCCGAGGACGGCGGGGAGACGTACAATCTCTGCCACTGTGAGTCGTGTCCGATAATGCAACAGGCGAACCCACGGCTAACTGATGGTCTCGTAAAGTTTGGAGTAACTTTGAAATTGCAGACATGGACTTCTGGCGGGGCGAAGCGTACTCGAAGTTCTTCGACTACATCGACGCAAAGGGCGGGTTCTACTACGAGGTTTGTACTCCAGTCTCCTCTCGCAAGGCATCTTGCTAATCTGCATCATAGCGCTGGGGAGACGCACCGGTCCACAGTATCGCCGCGTCGCTGTTCCTGCAGAAGGACCAGGTCCACTTCTTCGACGAGATCGGCTACGAGCACCATCCATTTACACACTGCCCGCACGGTCCCGGCATGATCAGGAAGAAGCATTGCACGTGTCGTGGCTGGCGCAGCTTCGGTGCGTTTTCCCTCATTCTCACGTGCAGCTCGTATCAAGTGTTGCTGCTCGCCACAGACTACCAAGGATATTCGTGCATGCGGAAGTGGGAGCGAATACACAAATGATCGCTGGCGTGCTGTCCAGAGGTTGATGTGCCCGTCTCCCTACGCGAATTTTCGTATGGTGTTTGGGCGGTGGAGGACGTGGCGTGGCGCATCGCCTGCGGGACGGCGATTGCCTGAATTCCGCAGGCATCGGAGGTCCCGGCCCTTGTGCAGGGCAGCCCGCCCGGTCGAGCGCTTAATGGCGGGGCTGGTATGCGCTCATGCAATGTGCGCCGAACTTGTGGTGCATCTGCATCTTTTACTATATACTATGTATGTAGAATCGGAACTAGTGGTATGCGACGCTAGGCACAATATCTCTGCTTGGATGCAAAGATTCATATACCGGGGCCCTGAACAGGATCAGAATGTATAGGCTCGTATACTAAGTGGAGACGTGAGGGCATGCGACTAGGGTAGGGCATAGTGCTATGCCTATGATTTGAAGATGACCTTGATTGAGACAATGTCATCCCATTGTTGCAAGCGTAAGTAGGCACACGAGCATTGTCAGCAGCAAATTTGGGATGTAACCGTTAGTGAACCATTGAGGAATCCAACAGCCTTCATAGAGACCGACGATAAAGGCCAACCTTGCAGTAGCGCATAACCTACAAACGTGCCGCTTCTTACTCTGTTTGGTACCATCACTACCGGCGCTCAGTTGCAGGTCTTCCACAGAGTGTCTTCCAATTGTCGTCCTTCTTCGTACACGTAAGTTTTCAGTTCTCTCTTCAGAATATCATTTCTTCCATGAGGGACCTACACATCGTAAGTATACGCTGTAAATGGAGATATTCTTCGCGCTTTGAAACCGCTGTGCTGTGGCGTTCAGTGACATATCAAATTGCAGTCATGGGTGGGTGGAACAATCACTGCAATGTGTGTGATCAGAAGTGATGTATCGTCTTCTTTACCCCGAGAACCATGATCATTCACGCTCCTTTTCTCGGCAGAGCATTCCAGCCTTTCTTTAGCCCCATACTCTCGATCAGACTCGCAGGCATGCAATACACGGGGTCGAGGTCTTCCAGTCCTGGGTATCCAAGGAGCGAGAGACCTTAAAATTGAGAGCCCAAATGTTTAGTCACATCATAGGGAAGACCAGAAGATACCACACCTGCAACGCCGAAAAGCGTGTGGAATACGTCCGGCTGGTCTTCCGGTCTGTCCGCTATGCCGCCATTCTCCATATCCTGTAACGAGTGTGAGCACTCACAATGCAGGTTCGCACACTGGTACAAACCTGAGCCGAGAGGATAAAAGACATCAGCTTATCCGCGTCGATCCACGCGAGTTTGTTGAGGATGGACAGCGACGAGAGCACCCAGAAACTGTAGCACACCTGAAGTGGAACGTGTACGTTTGGACGTTCCGTGAGCCACAAATATCAGAACGTGCTCACATCCTCAAGCTTCTCAGGCCGACCATTAAGACCGCCGTTAGGCAGCTGCCGCTCGGCTAGCCACCAAGCAAGCGTCTCTTGGTCAATCACATCCAGCCTGTCCAAAATCGCCAGTGCGGCCGTACACACAAAGACTGATTAACGCAGTAGGCAGGCCGTCGTCAGATGATATGCGACGAATACATCAAGGTAGCTCACCTTGTGCAGCGTGGCTCTCTGCGCCGACGCACGCGCCGAAACCCCCGTCGAAGTTCTTGCATTTCTGAATATATCCGACGGTCTTCTCCACGTCGAGCTCGTCGAGCTTTCCTAGGAGGGACAGGGCATTGACAGCACAGTACAGGAACCTCGTATCGATCTCGCCGAACGAGTCACCCGCGAAAACGCCAGATGGCTGCTGGAGGGACATGATGACTTCCGAGTGGATGAGCAAGGTGAGGTTCATCAGGCGGTTTTAAAAAAAGACCCACATTTGACGACGCGAGGCACATCTATCCTATCTAGCGCGCCTTGGGTAGCCAGGATCTGTATTGCGCTCAATGTCGAAAGGATATGCGCATCGTGATCGGGATGCGCGCCAAATGCTCCTATGAAAGTGATGATGAATAGCTGCAACCGACGCCCCAGCAGCGCAATGCCGGACCTGCTTGGTCGTCCCAGCAACTCATTACAAAGTCGATCATTTCTTCGCGATCAAGCGCGTCCTTGTGCTTCATCACACATAGCGCTGTAAGGCCCCAGTATATTGCATTCATGCGCAGATGCGCGGTGAGGTGGTATGTCAGGTCATCCTTGTTCTGTAAGAGATCAACGAAAGACGTGCGGATCACGCGACAAAGCACGAACCTCTCCTAGCGACTGTATATACTTCACATGAAGAGGAACGGCCAGCTGCATCGGGTCGCCAGAAGACATTCTAGGGCCTGCTGAGGAATTCATGCTATGAGAGTGTGTCTCAAGCAGGTGGGATTCATTCTATCCTACAAGGTTCTACAAGCGATGGCAAATCAGCAAATACTACATCAGTGGTCACACACGCAAGGCGGTACTCATGGGATCCAGTGGCCCGGAGCATAGCGAGCGGAACCATCCATTCCCAAATGATTCTTCGCAATAAAGAGCATGTTCATTGGTATACTTGCCTCGGTATCGATTAGCGAGGTTTTTAGTTCTCGCGATATACTTGGTGCAGAGCAGCCTCAGGCCGGAATAGACGCTGGGAAGCTGACTGCATCACGTGCAAGCCAATAGTGATCGCCCACCAGAAAATTCGAACAGTCACCACCATTGCACTGGTGCTCTTTCTACCTAATCGTACATCTTCTCGCCCGCATTGGCTTACGCTCGACAATTTTCCGAGCGCATGTTGATACATGCCGGGCTCTTGTGGCCGACTTAGGCATAATTAGGGCACGTGTCGACTCATGCCCTGGGCTCTGCGAGAGGTGCATTGTCATCGTCTTGACGGCTGTCATGCACGTCTTTTCTCAGTGCTCTTTCGTGTTATAAGGTCGTGATTACACCATTGATCACTGCCTCTCGATCTTGCTGCCTGCCACCACGAAGCGCGGATTTCTCCTGGGCAAGTCACTCAACGCTGATCCTGGAGTGGTTGACCCGCCTCGAGCGTCCGCTGTAGAGAAAGAGGCGGTCTGCGATGCAAGCATGCAGGGTATGTTTCCTTCCAATGCTGATGATGCTCCTGCTAATCCTCGCTTAGTGTCCATTCCGGAGAGCAAGGCAACTCCTCGTACAAACATGAAGCGTGGTTTCCTGAAAGGCAAGTCACTCAACACTGGCAATGAGCCAATCATCAAAGTGCAAACACGGATTACACCACCTCCGGCCCCTAATGCGAAGACCGTCGATGGATTTATACCCATGCCATGTGGTCCAGCCTCAACCAGTCGCGATGCTCCCTTGGTCGGAACTCTCCCGCCTGACATGTCGCACCGCATCGCAGTAACCCTGCCGCCCAGAGAGCTCTGCGGCACTGAGAGGATGACTACAACCTTACTCTTTCCGGGAATGAAGGAGGCTATCCTCGCCCTTCCTGGCTTCCCTGCCCCTCTCACTCACACCGCGGAGAGCTTCGAGATCGGCCCAATCAAGGGCAAAGGCCTCGGTATGTTCGCCACTGCCGACTTCGACACGGGCGATCTCATCATATGTGAGCGCCCGTTGTATGTCTCGACCGTTGTCCAGCCGTTCTCCTTGCGTCCGGGGGACCCAACCGCGAATGATGCTATCGTAGAGCTGCTGTCACGCATGTGCGAGTATGATCGGCGCATGTTCTACTCGCTCCACAACTGCAAAGGCAACGATTGCCCGCGGGAGCAGGGCATCATCGACACGAATGCAATCAACGTTGGCGCGCTACCTGGGTACGATGGAGCCTGTGCAGCCATCTACATTGACGTCTCGCGGATCAACCACAGGTGCGCATCCCCACGTTCGGTGTGACTTGAGAAAGTGATTCCACCGAATGTTACAGCTGCACTCCGAATGTGATATCGCGATGGGATCTCTTGGCATTTACAATGGAGATCCGTGCATTGACGCCGATTCGCAAGGGAGAGGAAATCACGATGTCGTACATGGATAAGACTGCCCCTCGCGCCGATCGCCAGAAGGAGCTGAAGGAGAAGTACGATTTTATCTGCAGATGTCCCTCCTGCAGCCTAACCGGTGCTGCGGCCAAGGAGAGCCACATTCGGCTCGCGACGATCTACCGCTCCGCAGTGACACCCTACGACGACGACGAGCTGGAAAAATGGATCAACGATGTGTCCGCGCCGGAGGATAAGATCACAAAAGCGTGTCTGTTTGTGCTCGACATGATGGAGAAGGAGAAATACTTCAACGAGAAGGTGTGGGCAGTGCGGTCCCAGCGCTTGTGCAAGGCGTACTGTGCGATGGAGAAGCTGGAGGAGGCGAAGAAGTGCGCGATACAGGCGGCGAAGATCTGGAAGGCTCTCGCAGGAAACGACGGGGGTTGGCTCGCCGTCGCGGAGGCGCCGCAGAAGACGAAATACTGGGGTTTGCGGACGAAGAAGATCAGAGAGGCAGAGCGGGCCAACGCTCAGGAAGCTTGAACCAGAGTGGTCGTGCCCGGGCGGCCGAAACTCGTCATCCGGGATACAGGAAATGCGTTACGCAAGGTAGGAACTTCACTGGAGCGCTGTGTCCTGCTCTGTATTTGTATTCTCTGTCCAATGACGGCAAAATCTCATACATGTCCCAGAGATACGCAAATTCAGAGTCGTAAGAATAACAGCCTGGCATGCGCGTGCGTGCGTGGGATGCTGGACGAGGGACAGAACATATACGCCCCGTATGACGTTATTGTAAAGGCTGATATTGAAAGCCAGAAAATTGTGAGCAGTGCTCAAAGAACAAGGCTAGATCCACGTGCTGCCGGATGCCTCTGGGGGTCTGCATTAGCTATCCTCGCCTATTTTCTGGCAAGTCAGATTTCGACTGCCTCGATGAATATTTAGGAGATCCAAGGTTGCAACTAATTGCATATCGGAGAATTTTGGGTGAAGGTAGGCAGGTGCACTAAAGATGTCGCGACGGGTCATGTGACCGCGATGTTGACACTTTGTCTCAGCCACAACCGTGGGATGATCTCTCATCATCTGCATCGATGCCTATGTGAAGACCATGCGCGAATATGCAACTCATAAGCTCCACGGACAATATGTTCAGCTACATAGTCTCAAGAAATGTGCCATGGGCCGGCTTCTCATCTAATGCTTCTATATAACACTCTTGTTTGTCAATCTAGCTCAGTTAGGCTGGATTGCCCGACGAAGACACCTCATATCATGCTGGAATACCTACCAATCGTCGCATAGCCTGAGCTAACTGCGCTACCTCAATGGCCCTGAACTTCAGTAGTCGAGCTTTCGCCGAACTAATAGTGATCCAAGCACTGTCGAAAGACAAGCTTGACTAATACTACGTGGGAGGGGCATCAGAATCAAAGGTGCTGCTCATAAACCTGTTTGACGTCCGTCAGTGGCTTTGTCCAACTTCCTTTCTTCCATCATCGTACGAGAGCTATTCTCATGTGGGTATCACAACAGTGAGTAGTACTATGAGCGCAGTTAGTGGGTTAGTACACCACCTTTAGGTACGCAACGGCTCCAGGTCCAGGAATGTATAGCGTGCAAGCCGGAGAAGTCCACAAGTTATCAGTATGACTTTTTATGCAGGTCGTGAACTGAGCGTGGACGGTCCTTTGGTGGGACTCAGTATGAGACAGCTGTTGTTGTGCTGGTATTCATATCAGATCTTTCAGTAAAGGCAGCATCTCGATGGGTGAAGCTTTGCATCCAGCAACATCATGTCAAGAATGACTAGCAAAGGCACTGCAACGTTGATCGCCGGTGGGGGGGCGCACAGGCCTGTGGCAACCTATCCACGCTCCCCACAATAATCGCAGCGCTATTCCCACTGAAATATAACAGATCTCCACATGTAGGAACACTTCTCAGATACAGTTAAACAGGATGATAAGGTTTGTATACAAATCCCAATAGCAGCCACGTGAAGATCATCCAGGCTATGGTTTTGAAGCAACTGCGGCCTCAGCTCTTTCTCAATGTGGACTGCTGCAGTGCAGAGGTGGGTGCTTCCATGCATCGGCAACACGTCAGATGGCCCAAAACGACTGAGCCTCCATCGCGGCGTTTTGCTATGATCTCCGCTGAACCACTCAGTCACTGCTCACTTGGAGCGCTCTTGTGGTCCTTGGACATATAAATGCAGCCAGAAAACTGCCCTCTTTTCTTCGTCTTCTTTCTTTTGGACATTTCTGGTTGCAGAGACTGAGTCACCGAGATGTCTACCATTATCGAGAAATTCGTAGGCCCATTCCTTATAACAATTTGTGTGACTATGATGTAAGTTGCCTGCTAATTTAGCCTGTCACTGGGGGAGCTTCAGCAATCTATCTTCAGATTCTATGGGATGTCTACCATTCAAGCGTATGTCTATTGGTGGAACTACCCCGACAATTCACTGAAGATCAAAATGGCTGTGGCAGCTATCTGGTGCGTTCGTACCATAGACAGACCTTCCTGTGTTCACGCTCCCAAAGGCTGCTGGAAACGCTTCATAGCGTGTTCTGTCTCCATCTTGTCTACAGTTATCTCATCGTCGACTTTGGTGATCTCGCTAAAGTCGAGCGGATTTTTTGGTATAAAATTGTTTACCTCTCGGTGCTGATATTGACATAACCGATGACAGGAGTGGCACAGTAAGTGCATTCACGCATGGTAGTTTGATGATTACAGACTCAAATGTTTGTGCTAGCTCGCAGTCCTTATCACTGTAGGTGGATGTATCTCAACGGGCGATGACAGTTGCACTATATCAAACGCCATCTTAGGTAGTAATTGCGGCGATCGTGCAAGGGTGCGCCATAACTTCCTCGAAACTTTTCCTTACCAGACTCTGATACATTTATCAGATTCTTTATTCATCGACTTTGGATTCGTGAGTATATATTCAAAGTATAATGCAGTCCCCACCGTACAATGAACCTGTCATAGTGAGAGCAAAAAACCGATTTCTCACCTCCATTGCAGTAAGCCATCACTACTGCTTGATCGGATGGACAATCAATGCATCTGACACCTATCAGTCAACACTGCTCTTCTTGCGTGTCTGTACATATGTGCACCCTTTTGTGGAATATCCGTTAAATGTCTCTCTACAGGTACAGGAATTGGTGAATTATCCCTTATTCATGAACCTCTAAGACTGACAGTGCTGAATGGCTTTTCAGGAACTGTTGCCTTCTCATATGTGATTACAATGTGGGCTTCATTCATGCAGCTGACATAGTGCTGTCATAGATGGGTGATCCCAAAAGTGGACCATTTTCTGCACAGCACTCGGACCATTGATAAATGATACCACTCTCCGATTTGTGTCAGCTTTTGATGCAGTGCAATGCCTACCAGATCACCTTGACTTCGGGAGTTTCACTTGCCACGACAGAGGACATAACAATCACCGTGTCACTGATCTACTACCTGCAGAAGAGTCGTGATGGGACATGCAGGTAAAATACAGTGTCATTCAATCACGAGCCTTGCACTCGTTACCTTTAGTTTGCTGCAGCACAGACCATCTAATCAGGACATTACAAACGTATACCGTCAATGCTGGAGGTCTAACTATGTATGCGTCACTCAATGGCTGACCATAAAAACATTGTCGCTAATGGCTTTCTACTGCAGGCTGACATCGATTGTGATTCGCATGACAGTACGTCGTCCGATCTTGCTTCTCTTATAACCGTTCGCACAATTATTTTGTTCTTCTAGTTTGTATTCTACAAGCATAGTTTGATATTCCTGGGAATAGTCTCTATTCAAGAGAAACGTACGTGTCATGTATTTTCCCAGGCATATATTCGATGACGATTACTTCAGTCTATGCAAACTCATTTCTTGCAATGTGAGTCACATGTGCATTCTAAGACTCATTTTACTCATGGACATTACAGTCTCAATGCTCGACAGCACTTGAAGAATCCCCGAGGCACTGCTGCAGATGATGTAATTACAATGAGCTTCATTCCTGCTAGTGTCCCTCCTGAACATCTCTCAGAGACACCTATCAGCACTTGGCCTCTTCAGCCCCATATCTAGAGTTACCAGACTGTTATGAAGGCTACGCGTAACAATGTTGCAGAAGCTGGAGTCGTGGACCTCAATTCCACTTACATGCCCACGAATAGTAATATACATGTGGAGAATGGGGACGTCCACAAAGTGCAAATGCTCGCCTAAAATTCGTTGCTGCAGCCAGATATGTTTCGACCTATCTACTGTATGTATGACTGTAACGCCCACAATATGCTGCCTGGTGCATGAAATGACATGGCACTGTTTGAATGGAACCCGAAAGCAGTGCGTATTCATAGGAGGAATGTCCCAGATTGCAAAAACTGAATGTTGAGCATCTAAGAAAGAAGTCGAGAACACTCTGGAGTGTTGGTCTCGAGCACGTGAAATTGCACGGTGAACTGGTACATTGACTCAGCTCCTCACATAACTGCAGACACTTGAATGCTCACCGCCACCACTATTGTCTGAGGTGAAAATTTACGAGGGCTGTAGACACATAGGAAAGTGAGTGACTCAGCCTCGATGTATAATGCGAGTGCTGTATAAATACCTGTAGACACATAGAAAAGCGAGTGACTACAGTATATCAGTAAAGACTAAGTAAAGGAGTCCAGTAGGTACTCACCTCAGCCTCGATGTATAATGCGAGTGCTGAGGTAGCAGGAAAAGATTGAGCATGCTTGTGGCTATGTGATTACATAAGCGAATAAGTGCGGAATGTCTAAGTCCGTGTCCCACTGGACATAAAGTCCATATGACTTCCAACATGCCCACTCAGTGGGAATGTGGACCTACTTTTAGAACACTAATTGAATCCTTCATGCTGCTTGTGCTGTGCATGACCGAGGGTCTTCGGCAGATGTTGTGACTTGCACAGATTGAATGGTAAGTGCCTGTGGCATAGGGTTTCTTGAGTCCGTCTGTGCAAATTTGAGAACTTGGGCTGCTTGCTGTATGCTGTCTGTACCATGTGACTTCACCTGAATTGTGCCCGATTGCGGTGCATGGACGGTCGTACTCATCATTGAGTGTGGCCTTGACGAATAAGGTAAGTTCTTCCATTGTCGCTGATTTCCGTTGATCCGCATCTGACGTTGATTCTTCGAGGTTCGTCGTCAACTGAGTGACCTGTAGCGCCTGCGCGAGCCTTGTCGCATTCGACTGTGCTCACTGAATACATGTTCTTTCCTTCTCTGTCTGGCTATTCCCCTTCACTTTTCGCTCTCTCCTGGACTTCTGGAGTCTCTACTGTCAGCTTCATCTTGGCTCTGAGGTCTGCTGGAACTGTCTTGGGCTTGTATGCACTGACAGAGGACCACGGGTCATAATCGCGAATTGGCACTTGGCGCGTGCATGTGGATTGACCAACATGGCTCTTTGGAGCCTTTGAAGTGGGAGTAGGAGTGGCTGCACATTGAGTCCGAGTGCAAGAGAGGGATGCTGCAGCTTTTGAGATGACAGGTAAGTGCTCCTTCTCATTTTCATGCTGAGGCAGAGAAGGAGGTGAGCGGTTTGATGCGGTCTGGCTTGGCAATGCGACATGATGGCTGGGCGAGGGTACTGTGTTGCCCTCGTCATCTTTGTCATTGCTGTTCTCATTGTCGCTATTGTCAGTGGATGTGCTACTGGGTGCATCGAGTGGTGGTGGCATTGAGTCATGTTCAGCAGCTACGATCATGATACGAGCCGCTCATCATTCATGAGGGGTGTGAGCAGTGCGTGCAGGTGAGCTCAGCAGTTTGCCCTGCACTTCGTGTTGAAGTTCAGGGTCGATCACTGTGCATGTCTGTCATGTACGGATGCCCTCGTCAGAGGCAGCATTTTGCGCATCGTGTGTGCGCCCACTCGTTCAGTGAGAGGCAGCGTGTGCCTTCGCATTTTGAGCATACCCGAGGGTGACATGCTTGACCGACTTGAGGTCGAGTCTGGCGTCATGGGCCATACACCCATGCATGCAGATGTGTGTGGCCGAGGGCTTGATGCCCATCTGGATGGGCTTACCAGTCTTCACGTCATGAGTTGCATTGCTCACGGTGTTCATGTTACTGACCGTGCCTTGATAGACCATTTGTAAAGTGAGTTCGGTACTCATGTGGCAGGTCTTGTGGTGCCACTTTATGACGTTCGCCTTGTGCGTCGTCGTCTTCACCACCAGTGCTTTGAGTGAAAACTCATTGGGATCCATGGAGGAGTCCACATGTGCTATGAACGCTCACATGGGAGCGTGTGAGATTGACTCGAGGACGTAGAGACTGACCGTCTTGTGCACTAGACCCATTGTCTCACTGTTGCAGGTGATTTTGCAGGCGTCACCGCAGAACGTGAGGGTCTGACCTCGTTCAGTGAGTCGTGAGGTGGAGAGGAGGTTGCCCTGGAGCTGTGGTACATAGTATACATCCTGTAGCAGTGTCGGGCTTGTACGTCCATCTTCGGTGGCTAAATCAAGGTAGATTTGCCCAATACCTTCTGCATGAATGCACCGTCTGTCTCCGAGCCAAACACGCTTCAGTGAGGTAAGGTTCATGAATTGAATGAACCAGTCACAGTGTAAGCTCATGGATGCCATTGTGCCTGAGTCGAAAATCCAATGGTTGGCAGGTAGGCTGTGCTGCGTGAGCGCATGGGCGATGAACAGTCAGAGGATGGAGGACGCTGTGGTACCCCAGGTGAATGCGACCTTCACCGTAAGGTCTTCACTGTCATCGCTACCCTCCTCCTCCTCCTGCTTCTCCTCGTCTCTCTTCTTCACTTGGCATTCCTCCTCTGTGTGGTTCAGCTTGTGGCAATGGCCACACTTCTTGCCAGATTTCAGCTGCTTCCCATTCAATTTCGATGTTGACGGCATACCTGACAGCTTGGTGTCACAGTATATTAGCATTTCCCTATTCGGAAAGCCCTACTGTAACTGGACTCAAGCAGCGTCACCAAAGCCAGCCACAAAAGCCATGCGACATCATTGATGATCAGCTAAGCGCTCAAGGATCTTATCAGTTGTAGGTGCCAATCGACACATCACGTGACCCATAAGGTAGCGCCCAATCAAGCGCTCCTAGCACGTGACCTTAAGAGACGCCCAAGCACCTGACATCCTGATAGCCGCTCAATAGGCTCGGGCATAGGCACGGGACACCGAGGTCTGGATTGGTAAGGAGGTCGGCCTTATACCTCATGGCCGAGACGGCACCCCGACAGAATGCTGCACGGACCATAACCTTATCTATAAGTCTACAGCCCACCAATGACCACATAGTATTTACTAGTAGAAACATTGCCATTGGCTGTAGCACATTATGTAATATGCACATACATAGTAGGTAGCCAAGGACCCCATAGATACTAGAGTATCAGAGGGCCTCGCCCCTACATGTATATATATGCCTCTATGCGACTGGGCTATTCCCCAGTCTTATTCATCTATTTCTCACATCCATCGTGGCTTGCCACAACCCTTCATCCCTGAGTCAGCTCGACAGTGAGGCCTATTGCCACTCACTTGTCCTTAGCCTACCACTGGCTGATAGGGGGCTCGCCACCCTTTTATGTTGGATCTTGAGTCACCGCTCCAAGTGGGACCCTGGAGCCTTACAAGGCACTCAGTATAAAGGTCACCCGTGAGCGGGTCATGTGTGAAGCACCCATGGACGTCATGTCTTGTGTGGCAAAGCTTAGCCGTGACATTTGAATAAGACTCAACCACCTGCCTTCGGCCTCAGGCTGACTGCGGGGAGTGACCTGAGGATCCTTTGAGGACCAGGCACTTTTTGACCTGAAGCATGTCATTAAACTGCATCATTTTGCTCAGAGATATTCCGCCCGAGAGCAGGGCTTTTTCCACATCACTTCCTCCACTATTCCTACGACTCTACCCACTGTAAGCCGCTCCCTGCCTACAAAAGGTATCAGCGCATGTTGCTTCCTTCACTCCTCCATGAGGGTGAACAGCCAGGAACCATTCGGAGTTCGCTGGGGTCAAGATCTAGGAGTGGGTACATGGATTGAAGGATCTTTGGGATTATTAGACAAGGCGTAGCATACCTGTGCCGATTATAGGAATATACTCTAGGGCCCCTGATAAAGCCATCGCACATCAAAGTGATTTTGCCTAAAAGCTGGCCCACTTAAAAGCTTCGCCCGGCACGAAAAACACTTCGAGTTATTCGTGACCGTGTATCCGAGGACCTATGCGCATGTCCTCGATAGAAGAAAAAAAATAAACTGCGAGCAAACATCCTATATCTTGATGAAGATCAAAAGGCGGGCCTAGAACAAGTCCGAAGACCTCGGCAAAAACCCGTTATCAATGTAGATCGAAGAATCCATATAGGATAAGGGTCATACATCCTGCATGCTAGCCTGGAATGCTACCAGTTTAAACCTTTGCATGCGAAAGAGTGCGTCTAGTCAGCACACCTTCTGTTCAAGAACATTCTGCGGAACGAACAGCGCAAGTCGAGAAGAACTCATTCAAGCACACGGTAGTCTCCTGACTATTAACTGTGGGCGGATAGAGTAGAAATTCGAAGAACGACACAAAGAATAGTTCAACACTGGGACAAATGGGGATACCATGGAAAACATTCATTCCAAGTCTTACGCGATAAAATCATGCAACCAAGGCACATGTTGAATCGAAAAACTGCCGCCCATCGTGTTTGGAATGCGACGCTATTGCGCATCTTTGTTCAAGCAATCTACCACTCAAGCGACCCAATTTGTGGTCCAAAGAGTGGATCCTGGCACTTGACCACAGGAGTCCTGCCAGAAGACCTAGTGCAAGTCAGAATAAACTGCAAACCTGCTGAACACATCCAATTTTTTGATTCCCCCCCACCCACCCTATAATTGTTTCTTATTCCTTATCTCCCTTGGGTTGCCCCTCGCCGTCGCCCAGGAGTGCATGGCTGTGGGTGCTCAGACCCAGGCGGGTCTTGCCTAGTGCCGGCTCGCTCCCGGAGAAGAGCTTGGCAAGGAGTGGGTAATATGGGTATATAGGCATGTGCGTAACGTAGTGAAGCATAATGACCTGGTCTCCACGGATGACCATTAGGTGTAGGCCAAAGGCCACGCTCCTCCGAACCTATAAGGAGGATTCATGCTATGTCAGACATGCGTCGACTAGCATAGAACTATGGCATTCAGATGGGAGAACCTATACCGCCCTTGACCATTGGGAAAAGGATATAAGACCTTGGAAGGCTGAAGGGCGAGCGCAGTGCAGTAATCCCTGAACCTTCAAGGCTTATCCACAGAGAGGCACGAAACTGGCCGTAACCGTTGGGAAGGCCACAGGCTGGTTACATAGCCACAGTTCATATAGCCGGATCTGAAGTACCACTTTTAGCTCTAATTTTACGCCTCAAATCAATTAGTTGAGTCATACAAAAAGACCTATGAACTCGTGGACAAGATAGATCATGCAGGAGTTTGTCATAATGCCACTCCGCATCTTATCACATCCCAACGACCACTCGCTACTACGCGCGAACACGATCACTGGTTAGATCAAAAACAGAAAGGAACTAGGCGCACCTTTCCAATAAGAAACTGCAGCTTATGCATCACACCCTGACACGGTGCTGTAACAAGCCGAGTGCCTCCTAAGCATGAGGTTAAAC